AATGGGTGAGCTTTTTGTCTTGGGGCAGTGAGATCATGAGACGTGCCAGATAAGCATGTTGTGCCTACACATGAGAAACAAGAAAATGGGAAGTTTTTATGACCAAAGGGAAAGATATAGTGGATTAAATTTTCCCCCTCTGCTTTAGTGAGACCCCACCTGGAATACTGCTTCCAGCTCTGGCGTCCCCAGCACAAGGACATTGCCCCATCAGAGCAAGTCCCAGGGAGGGACAACAGGGATTAGAGGCAGGGACTACCACTCACATGAGGGAAGATTAAGAGATTTGGGATTGTTCAGCCTGGAAAAGAGAAGGATTTGGGATGACCTAACTGTGGTCTTTCAGTACCTCTAGGGAGCCTACAAAAAACGATTGACAGAAACTTTTTACATGGGTATATAGTGACAGGACAAGGGGGAATGACTTCAAACTGATAGCAAGTATGTTTAGATGCGATATTAGAAAGAAATTCTTTACTGTGACAGTGGTGAGGCACTAGAACAGTTGCCCAGAGAAGCTGTGGATCATCCCTGGAAGCATTCAAAGCCAGATTGGGTGGGGCTTGAAGCAACCTGGGATAGTGGAAGGTGTTCCTGCCCATGGTAGTGGGGTTGAAACTAGATGGTCTTTAAGGTCCCTTGCAACACAAACCATTCTATGATTTTATGAAGTTAAACAAGGAAGGTATTTTAAAACTCGCTATGTTTTGAAAGCATCTATGAATCGGATCGACTTCCGTTTGTATGCAAGAAAGGGAGCTGGTTCCAGCCTGCTAATGCTGAATAGAAATGGAAAGCCTGGACAGGAGACCCAGCTGTAGAAAACCAGTTTGGGGCGCTGGGCAGGCTCCTGAACACTTTCCGTCTGACTCGAGGGATGCCTGTGCTCTCCGGGTCTGCCAGGCCGGGTGCCGGAGGCTGTCTGGGTCCCCAGCTCTCTCCCGTGCCTACCCTGTCCCACATCGCGGCACACACGCCATTCCCCGGCGCGCTCGGGGCCGGGGCCGGGGCCCGGGCCGGGGCCGGGGCCGGGACCGGGACCGGGACCGGGACCGGGGCCGGAGGGGGCGGGCCCGGGAGCTCCGCCAGGCCCGGCGCGTCCAGCAGGGGGCGCGCGGTCCCTGGCCGGCGCGGCACGCGCGCGGCGCGGGGGGCGGGGCCTGGGGCGAGCTGCGCGCGCGCGGAGGGAGCCGGCGGGCGGTGAGTGGCGCGAGGGCCGCGCGCGGGGCGGGAGTGGGGCCCGGGGCCACCGCGCGTGCCCGCCCGGAACCGCCGTGAGGGCGGCGGCGCGGAGCCCCCTCACCCACCCATCGCCGCCCCCTCACCGCCTGACCCTGCTGCGCCGCGCGGGCGATGGCGGCCGAGGCGCGGACTGGCTGGCTGGCGTCACCCCCTGCCCCCCACGGGGATTCTGTGTGGCCGCAGAGTTCCCTCGAAGCGATCCACGGGGTAGGGGACAGCAGGAAACGGCCTTCTCCGGGAACCGTCCGTGTCCCTTCAGCCACGTGTAGGAGGGACCGGTGATCCCGAGCCTGTCCTCCGTAGGACACATCATAATTTCCTTTTGCTTGAAGTAGCCACCAGGACTCCTGACTTTGCTTTGTTAATCTGTTGCAGTTTCTGCGTATTTGGTAATCCTCTGAGAGCTTCTCTTGTATGAACTTTCTGTGTGACTTTGACACATTGTGAAAATCCGGTTTTTGAGGTATCAGGGCACAAGTCCAGACATTTAGTAGCTTTCCGGTCTATCAGATCAGGACTTCTCTACCTCCAGGCAGGTGGTTGCAGCCCCTGCCAGGTGATTTTCATTAGGGTTGCACACCACTGGCCAGCATTTCTCGGTGTGTGCTGCAAACACCGTGGATGATGAGCTGCTTGTCTCAAAGACTGACTTGGGCAGCTTGGAAAAAACACAGACAACTAGATTTAACTCCATTTCATGCTCTCGGTCTTTTGATCAAGGTTACTCTTAGAATAAGATCTTTTCTGAAGTTGCACATGTGCTTTTTATATTGTTGGTAAAAGATCTAAAGGACTAACACTGTCCTCTTCTTCCTTCTTCCCAGCGATGAACAGCATGGCTTTCCAGATGTATTTCTACTCCATGACCTTTTAGCAGTCTTTCCTAATGTTTTCTTATCACCTGTTCTCCATGTGGTCATAACTACAGGTGAAATGAATGTACTGAGGACCAAAAACGGTTAATTTTTCCATAGTGTTTAACTTTGAGTATTTTTTTCCTCTGTTTCAGAATTTGGCTATATAAAAATAGACTTCTCATACATGAATGCCAGAAACTATTGTTAAATACATACAACATTCTTGTGTGGACAAAGCCTTGGAGTCTCCTGTGCTGCTCTTATCTCTCTTAATTTATTTTTTGGTTTTTTTGGAGAGCTTTCACTCTGTAGTGATGACATTTGCCTGAACAGTGCATCAGCTAGTAAGAGAGAGATTGAGCTGTGCACAGGGGAAGGGACTAAAGAGTCTGCAGGGACCTCCACCCCCTTCATCCTACCTGCTGCACTGCAAGCCACATTTGTCACCTCATTTTTCCTGTTTTATGGGTAGATCTGGCCCCTTAGGGACCAGTCGCATTCAGATTTGCCATTTTACCCTATGAACACAAATTTCCCATTTTACCCTGCCTGTTCCTGTTCCACTCTATCTGAGGGAGCTTACCTCCTTCTCTGGTGTTTTCCTTCAGATGACCTTTGACTTCACCATGAGAGTCATTTTCTAAACCTTATGCAGTGTTCTTGAACTGTTCTTGGATATCTGATTTCCCCCTATGTGGCTTCCAGAGAGCATCTGTGTGAGGACAGAGCATGGTCTGCATGTGGAGGGACCCAGGGCCTGGGGCAAGCTGGGATTGGTCAGCTGGAGCCTCAGGGGCCTTGGGAATTAATAGTATAAAGATTCCCTATGTGCCAGAGGCACTGTGGGCTTCTGTGCTTCTTCCCACCCTCCCGTAGAACTTTCAGGGTTGCTTCTGGACTTGAGAGCAGTGAACTTAATGGAAGAGATAATGAAGGGATTTCAAACAGTAGAACCGTCGTCTCCCTTGAAGCAATTTACAAGTCTTGTGGACATAAAGTCACTTTAAGGGTTTTCTGATGTAGTTCTTAACCATGAGAATGTCTTCATCCTAATAAATTGAGTCAGTATATTCATTCAGAAAAATATATTAAATTTTGGAGGCATTTATAATAGCTGTAGTAATATTTCTACCATATGTTCTGAGTTACCTCTCCTTGCAAAACCTCACAGTTAATTACTTCTTGGTTCCTAAGGCTTTTAATTTACAAACCAAAAGGAAGAGTTTAAAAAAAATCAACTAAAAATTATTCATAGATTAAAGATGTCTATGGTAGTATGCCTTTTTATGTTCTGAAACAATGGCAAATTCTTCATCAGCAACTTTATCTGTGAGGGTTTTGATTCATGGGCATGTATTTAGTCTTTGCAAATGCTAGTATGGGCTCACTGACAGAAAATCAAAAAAATTCAACTTTTGACTTAAAAACTGAAGCTTTCCACCTGTTTCAATTTCTTAGAGTCAAATCATGGTTGTGTTCTTGCTTGATGGGTAATAGCAGACCAGATTACTGTATGTATTATACAGTTATTTAAAAAACTGTTGTGAGTTAAGGAGTGATTGTAAATTTCTACCATGTCCTAACAAAAATAAATTGTTTAATAGGACCTAAATGGGTCATAGTGTTGTGTATTGTTAGAGCATTGTGGCTGGAAACTGTTATCTGTCTGGACATACAGTCATTCCTAAAATAAATACTTTAAATAATACGTAATTTAATAATGTAAATAGTCTTAAAGCATTTGTGTTTTGTTCAATGAAAAACTGGGGGAAAATAATGATTTTGGCTTTACTAAGTAGCTTGACTCTGGAATTCTCTTGCATGAGACTGATGCCATAGGTGGATCTTAGGGCTGTGAGCAATTCCCTGTTTGGCCAGCCTGGCCTGAGAATCCTGCAAGTCAGTAAATGATACTCTGGAAAAGGCAGGTTTTGCAGATAAGAGCTTTCCTTAGGAAAGCTAAGGAAACTTACTGTGTCAGAGAAATGGCAGATTATCTCCCAGTGCCAGGGTAAGGTACCATTTTTTCAGCAAGCAGGAGGAAGCTGTTTTAAGGAAACTTCATCTTGAAAGCTCTTTTAGAGCAGAAGGAAGGGGTGGAGGAGGAGACTGCCAGTTCTGGAGCTCTCCTTGTAATGCAGGGAATGAGGAGAAGAACCATGAGCAGCTCCACTTGAAATGACTCAAAATGTTCAGTCACTGTTCCGGTGAGTTCTTGGTGACTTGTGCATAATGCAGGTGTATCCCTGTCTGCATCTCCAGGCTCTGTTAAAGGCATTGCTCATGTGCTGATCCTTAGGCTAGATGCAGGGAAAGTGGTTTCTTGGGAGAAGAATCTTTCTCAATTTTCTCCAGTTCTTTTCACGTGCTGAGTCCATTCCAGCACCTCCGTTCCACGAGGTGGCGCCGTTCCCGAGGAGAGGCTGCTGTGCTGCCTGGGGCAGAGGGCTCAGGGATCCTGCCTGGCAGAACCCACTTCAGGAGCTTTCTGAAAATGGCTCTACTTCTCCATTGGTACCTACCGTGCCTTCTTGGAGCTTCTTGGCTGCCTTTTTTTTTTTTTCTTCCTTTGTAGGTTTGTGGCATTTAGAGGAATCTTTTTATGGCATGGAAGTTAAAACCAGGTGATGCTGAACTAGAATGCTAGTTTACTTCATTTGGAGTCAAAATGGTGTGGCTTTTGAGCATGGGAAGGAATGACCAATAGCTATCATTATTTCTAGGAAGGAAGGGAATCATTTCTATAGGATTTTCCAGTTCCACAGGAAACCAAAAGTTGTAATGTCAACTTCCCTGTAAGAGCATAAGCCAAATCCATGTTGCATGGAAAGGGAACAGTGTTGCTGCTCTTCCTGAATTCTCTGTGGAGACTTGTTATTTCCAATTGGCCTCTCACTGATTTAAGAGCGCTTAAGTAGAGGGAATAATTTTTCTTTTGTTAGGAGGTTTTCCTAGTTAGCTGCATTCTTTTTGGAAGTTGTTTAACCTCACAAGATTATGCTGGTTTTAAAAACATTCACCATTGAAATGGGTTCATTTAATTAATTTCTTTTTTCTTGTTGACATCTAAGAAAATGGACGATGATGATGACATGCCCCAGCTTTCATCCCATACATTGGCTGCCCTCCAGGAGTTCTATTTGGAACAGCAGCAGAGAGAGGGCATGAAGACCTCCCAAGGGTTTAATCAATATTCCATTGGCTCAATAGAAGAAGACTGGGTAAGAAACTATAAATTTCAGTGAGTGAAGCACAGAGAGAGGAGTAGCCCTGACCAAGTTTCTTTTGTGGCTGGAAAATGAAATGAAATTAAAGAGGGGAACACTCAAGATATTGCTATTAATGGATGGCAACACTGTAGGGAGATTTGCTTTAGTATTAAATCTGGATGTAGTTGTTTGCTCCACATGTGCATGGGGGGTACAAACTCAAAGTACATGGAGAGGGAATAAAGCTGCTAACAGAAGCATCTGTCCCTTCTGGAAATTTTAACTCCAGCCTGGCATGTGATAGTAGTAAAGACTCTTCCCTGAGTCTGAGACAAACGTAGTGTAACAAGACCAAGTGATCTTTCCTTTCATTTTTTTTTTGTGTGTGTGTGTGTGTGTTTTATTTCTTTATTTTTGTGGATGGCTGTTTTGCTGCTTCTTTTTATTTGTGACAGACTGATTTCTGATTTGTCTCTGGGTTGGGCTTTTTTGGTCTTCCTTTTTCTGATCATTCTGATTTAATTATCCTTTTCTTTCTCCCCACACTGTCACTTTTCAAGGGCCTTTTTCCTCGTCTGCTGAAAGAACTCAATTGAAGAGCTCATAAATAATGTGCATCTGCCCATTGTCTTTGAAATAACCTGTCAGTGGTTTGGATTTCTTGGTTTTCCTACTGCAGTTCATGTTTTGGAAACAGAGAGTGTAAGGTATCTGCTGCATATCACTAGATCACAGAAGTAGGAAGACTGTCAGGAAAACAGCCACTTTCTAGCTTTACAGGTTGTGAACTGAGAAGTTGCTGTGGATTGTGGTTTTCTTGAGTTATGACTCACCACACGTAACTCCATAGCACAGCCAGAAGATTTGATGTTGTTTGTAATTGTGCATTATCTTTCTCAGCAACTGAGCCAGTTTTGGTACAGTGATGAAACTGCATCATGCCTGGCTAAGGAAGCAGTTCTGGCAGCTGGAAAAGGTGGCAGGTAGGTTTAATAATTGTGTTGTAGATTTAACATTAAGATCTGCAAATATTTTGTTTCTGCTATGTTGGCAAGAGCATGCAGTTTAATTCATTACTCATTGTACTTCAGTTTTGTTCAGCTGAGATACTGCAGAGCTGCTTTGATGTTATTTAATTAATAGTTTATACTGATCTTCCTCTTTGTCATTTCATTGAATGTTGTAGGCTGTGCCTTGTAAAAGTTTACTATAAATCTTTGTAATTTTTTGAGAAATACAAAGTGCTTCAGAGCACATTATTGACTTATAATTAGTTTTTATATTGTTTCTGTAGAACAGATGGAAAAAACTTGGTTTTCTTCCTACTTCTATAAACAGTAATTTTTCATTTTTGAGTGTACTTCCTTGCTTTTCTGAAACAAGACTTTCTCTGTAGTTAAGCTTAAGATCTTTATGTAGCATGGGGTTGAACAGGTAATGACTTTCATACTTAAAACTTTGTTACTATGATAATTAATTGTTAGAATGGAGGAACAATACTTTATATTTTTGGGACTAATGTTTAAAATGTTTTCCCAAAGCCTCTCTGAAGACTGCTGAGAAGACTGTAGAGTTTTGTTGCTGTTGTTTGCCTTTTAAAATTACAATTTTAAGTTATTGTGTGTTTTTTTCAGGATAGCATGTGTTAGTGCACCAAGTGTGTACCAGAAACTGAAAGAACAGGATGGTGAGGATTTTTCTGTGTGTATACTGGAGTATGACAGAAGGTTTTCTGTGTATGGAGAAGAGTTTATCTTCTATGATTACAACCACCCTTTGGACTTACCTGAAAATCTCCTGCCACACAGTTTTGACGTCGTAATAGCAGATCCACCCTATCTGTCTGAGGAATGTCTTCAAAAGACTGCAGAGACCATCAAATACCTAACAAAAGGAAAGATTCTGCTTTGCACAGGTATAACTAATAAAAATATTAGGTCCCCTTAAGTAGCTTTTTTCTCTCTTTGTAATGACAAACTTACATGAGACAAATGCTAACTCAATAATGCTGAATTATCATTAATTTAAGGAGGAATATGTGTCCTAAGCCTTTTATTTGAGTACTTGAGGTACTCAAATAAAGGTACTTCAACCTTTATTTTAAACAGAAGTGGGTTTCAATAGTTTAAGTCAGTACTTTTTTCCTATGGCATTATGAATTTTACTAAATTTTGGAAGAATTATAAGATCATCCAGCAAAACTCCAGAAATATAATTTTTCTTGTAGAAGGGCCACTCTATATAATTGCACTGATTGAAATCTGGGAATGGCAAACATAGGTGCAAGTTATTGTTTATGTCTTATGCACTGAAATACAGGGGGAGGAATTAAACAGCAGTGATAAAAGCAGAAACCAGATAACTAGATATCTGTACTTGTGGGTCCTTCTTTAGGAAGGTGCACTTGCTGTTTGAGAAGTGATGTGTGTCTGCCCAAGTCATGGCTTTTCTTAAACTGTTTTGTTATTACTGTGTTGTTATCTGAGGACATCCAGGAAACCTTTCCAAAAAGTGAAGGTCAAAACCCCTCTGTATGTACAATTTCAGGGAAGGCAACCAAGCAGGCAAAATAAAGAAAAATTAAAATAATTAAGTGCACATGGCAGTCACACACAAGGGTGGTTCTCAGACGGTTTTCCCTAGAGTGGATAGGTGGTCCTTCAGTTTACTGCTCAAAGCAGTGATTTCTCAGTGTGTAACTGCAAATATCACTTCATGGTTTATATAAGTGAAAGAGTAGATGTAATCTGTTTGCATTTCCCACAGCTCCCTACCATTTAACTTCCTTGGAATGTAGCAAGAAGACTGAGTTCAAGTTTGGTTTCTGTAAAAATGGCACTGATACCCTCTACTTATTTTTATGAAACTTCTTGGACATTCATTTCTTTAGGATGTCTTCCATTCTTCTAGATTTACTTTACGTTTCCCAACAGATTCTGTTGTCAAGGAAGGCTGAGAGTGTAGTTGCTTTAAGCCTGCCTTCCTTAAAAAACACCAGGCTCTCTAAGTATGCATTTGGGAGGAGCTATTAAAAAAGTTCAAACATTCTGTTACTGTTTTTTCTTATTGAATACCAATTATTTTTGCTGCAGGTGCAGTCATGGAGGAACAGGCAGCAAAGCATCTTGGTGTGAAGATGTGCAAGTTTATTCCAAAACACTCGCGAAATTTAGCCAATGAATTTCGATGCTATGTGAACTATGCTTCTGGACTGGACTAATTCTCCTAAGATCATCTACAAATCTACTTTTCTTTTGAAGCTTTTTCAGTCAAGCTTCTTTCTGTTTACTGACAGTTATGCCACATTTCTGAGGGCTGACATAGTCAGCTCTGAATACTGTTTTCTGGCATAGCTGGAATCAACACAGTGTGATAGCCTCTCTCTTTTAAATGAGTAAGCATTTGCAGTTACTGTGTTTTGTATTAGGTAAATGCAGACCAGGCAATGCAGGTGCTGGATAATGGGAACTTCTTTGTTTAACTTTAACTGGTAGCTTTTACTATATGAGGACACATCAGTGACCTCTTTGAAGTGAATTTAGCTTATAACAGCACATAGGTGTTTGCCTTGCAGGCATCAGAATCGTCATTGCCAAAGAGCATGGTACTTCTGTAGTAATGTGACCCACACATGTCCCTTAAATCTTGAATCCTAATGGCTCTGATTAAATATAATGCCTGCTTTTTAATAATTTCAACATCAAACTAAAGAGGATCTACAGGTATGTCAAGTTACACGAATGGTTGCGATTTTTTTTCCCAGTTGCCTGATTTTATCTTTTTCTCCTGTTCCACAGACAGCAGCAGAGCAGTAGAATAGAAGCATCTTAAAAATCATTGAATCTTACAAGGCCACTGAAGAGTAATATATTGATAAACTCCCATTGTTTCAAATGGAAAAATGTTAGATTTTATATTCAAGGTTTGGTCTATATTTCAGTCAAAATAGATAATGCATTGGAAAGGGTTTGCTTTGCATAAGTAGAGATTTTTGATAACTGGGAATTTTAAAGCCACTTTTGACTAGCCTTTTGACTACACTACTGAAGTATTTTTGGGTGGAGATTAGTTCATAAATTTCAAGGCACTCAACACTTTTATAATCTCTAAAAATACTACAAAACACAAGCACTTGTCTTTGTATGTGATACTATGTAAAAGTTAACAGAAATGCTGCATCTACAAGACAAATCACATAAAATCAAGTACTAAATTTATTTGTAGTGGGGATAAGCCTAATTAAGCTTGTGAGATGAGACTTTTTATAAAGCAGTGATAATACTCATGTTTCTGCTGTTTGGATGCAAATTTTCCCATCTGGTGGAGTAAACAGCTGAGCAGGAATAATATAGATGGATTCTAATTCTCTCTCAGTGCTCAGAGAATGGTGTTGTCTGAGCTGAACACAAAAGTGGTTCATAAACACCCACCCAATCCACCCTAGCTCTCCTCCCCATTTTCCAAGAGATCTGTTTGCTTCCTAAGGCCTTTCTCTTCTCACATTTTATACCTGCTGCTGCCTCCCTGCATGCAGTGTTCCTGGGCTCCATGGTAACATTTTTCTTCCTCTTGCACACGCCTTGGTTTCCGTCAGGCTGGTCACAGGGGTTGTTAAAACAAGGGAAGTGCAGTGAGGAAATGCTCACAGGGAGAACAGGCACTGGCCTCTCCTTTCTGCTGTGTGAGCCAGGGCCCATACAGTCTTGCCTTTCAAAGCAGATGCCATCCTTGCTGCTGAGCCAGAATTCCCCTGAAAATGACTGTCCACAGGTGAAATACACCTGGGTTTAGTTGTTTTCTGGGAGGCTACATCATCACTTTCATGTGGCCAGTTTGACAATAAAGCAAACCAGAATGGTAACTGCGTAGCTCTTGGCACTAACCTGTACTTTAAACTGGTTCATTACCTCAGTGTCTTGCACACCAAGCAGATGGAGATGATGAAGTAACTCATGAAACTTTGTTTTGAACTGCATAAAGGCTTCAAGTGGGACAGGCATGATTGCCAGAAGGGATGATACTGTTCCCCTGCCACCCACCTAAATTAGAATGTGCTGTTCAAATCAAAGCCTCACCTGTTTTGCTGTTTTATTTGCTTCATTTTGGTAAATGTGTATTATTGGGCTCTCCATGGCAGAGTTAAAAGTCAACTTCACTAACTTCATCAGAGATATTTCTTAAAAAGATAAAAGTGCACCATTCAGTTGTACCAAGAAGTTCACTTCCAAGAAAATCACTGCTGCTTCTAACATGTAGGTCAGACAGCTTTGAAAAGGGGCACTGTGAAGATGCATAGTTACGGAACTGAGGGTGCATGGAAATCTGTGCAGATGCACTCAACAGAGCAGCCTGTTGTCCACCAGCCTCCCTCTTAAAAGCCTGGGGACTGCAGGCAGCTGCCCAAGTAGAGCTTGACTAGTGGCATTTACAGCCTTCATCAGTGATGGGTGGTAAACTATTTTTGTCTAACTTGATTCCAAGGAAGTAGCTGTTTCTGAGAAGGGTACAAGTCACAAAAATCCATAGTGAATTTGTGTTTTGTGCCAGCATGGTATCTTTAAGAAATAGTACATGACAGCAAAACCCTCTTTTCTTCTGTAACAGGATTGTGAATAAAAATATCAGTGTCAAGCAGTGACTGACTACTGGGGGTGTCTCATGGATGGACTTTCTGTTGGAACACACTGTGGGGAAGTGTCAGCACTGTGCTCCTTTTCCAGTGGCATTTATGACTGCACAGTCCTATGTGCTACAGCCTCCTTAACTACCCTAGCCCAGGCAGTTATGGCTGTTCCCTCATGCCAGGAGGATTAATGGGTGTTTATACTTTCTGAGCACATCACAGCCTTTTTCCCTTTTCCTCCTGCTGCTTTCATGTTCATGTTCCCCCATGCAATTCCATGTTTATTTGTAGCTGGAGATCTTCACCCATTCAGACAGACACCTTCAGGTGATGACTGGCAAGTAAACCCAAACTAGCATCTCGAATGATAGGAATTTTCCTGAATGATAGGAATTTTCCAAACTACCTTAAACGATACTACAGAAAAGAAAATAATCTCATTACCAAGGATATTGTTCTGTGTTTTGTGGCTCCTAATGTATTCCAGGGACAACCTTGTTGAAGGAAAAGATTTTCCTGGCACAACAAAAAATTTTCTCAAATCAGCTGCAGCTGCCAGATAGTTCTAGCTTTGAATTGTTTGCATTTATTGGGCCTGGAGTTGGTTCAGTGAGGCATTTCATGTCTTCCTTCTGTCAACAGTTTGTGAAGCCTTGAAGCAACTCCAGTGAACACTCCCTCCCCCATGCAAATTAAAGGCAAGGCTGTGGCAGCTGTAACCAGAGGACTGGAAGCTGGAAAATGTCACACCACATTTGAAGTGAAACTGATATAAATCCATGATGTGATGACCTCATTAAAAAAAAACAATTCCAAACAAACACAAACTACATTTAACACTCAACCTTTCCCACATGAGTAATGTGGAGAGAAAGGATATATGGAAGGATATTGTGATGGCCAGCAAGTGTTTGTGTAGCTAATAGCTCTTGATGTTAAGTATTAACAAACAGTTGCTCACTAACAAAATATCAAACAGTTGCTCATGCTAAAACTTAAACAGCTTTTAAGAGACACCTAACTGGAAAGCTGAATCAGGAAGCAAATTGGCACAGCTAAAAAGTCTGTCACAGAGGAAAATGAGGATTAAGATGGAAAAATGGGCTTCTGAATGAAACAGCATAAAGATGCCTAAACCATGGGAAGCTTGCTGCACTTGTTGCAGTGTGATGAGGTCACCAACACAAGCGCTCTATTGATCCATGGAGGTTTTGCAGTTCTCGGGTACTTTCAATCATCCACGTTCTGAAGCTCTCTATAAGCTAAAGCATCTACTTTTCTGGAGTGGAGAAACTGATTCTGTTCTATTTACCTGATTTTAGCTTGCACCTCCCAGGAATTCCCTGAACATGCTCTAGTTATTTGAAAACCTCAAAATGACTCCATAATTTATGTCTGGAGGACAAGAGAGTTGCAATAAAAAAAAGAGATTTTTTTTTACTCCACATCATGCAAATATATACCCATGTGTTCTAATAACTAATTTGTTGCAGACAAATTTGTATAACAAAAGTGCAGACAATGAGTTCTGCTGGAGGGGCAGTGTTTGGCCAGACTTAGCTGGTAGCCCCTCTGGGTATCTACTAAATGTTAAATGCTGCATGGTTGGACATTTTGCTGTTGTTTGGGGTCATTTTATTGCCTCTTAGGGTGAAGACTTTGCTTTCTATACAATGGAGTCTGAAGGTTCAACTTCATGCTGCAATAAGTGTACATGTGGAGAAAACCTCACAATCTAATGGTGAAGCTGTAAGGGATCAGGGTACTGAAATATCACCAGTGTTTCTCCAGTTTTGTGGGTCAGCCTCCCTTTTGAGCCCCTCTGATTACCATTTCCCTCTGCTCAGAGGATGAGAAGTTCCTCCACATTAGAAGGAAGGAAAAGAAGTTGTAACTGCTGCAAGTATTTTCATTCTCTGGGGAAAAGGTAACTACCTATAATTGCTGGCAGCAGCTAGGCAATTAGCTGTTCTCTGAGTAGTAAAAGCATTTTATGACCATCTCTGAACTCACCTTTGAGAATCCCCTTGAGAAAGAAGCATCACAATTGGAGGAAACACAGATCTAAAGACAAGGAAAATTGAGGAAAAGCATCTGCACCAAAAACACAGCTACAACCTTCAATCCGGCATTGTGATGGGAATATTTATTTGTTTCTGGAGTTCTTAAAGTTATTTTAGGCTTTGTAAGAGGTTTCAGAGATTGCACTATAAAAATACTGTTATGCTAGACTGAGTCAGAGAGAGCACAATCAATAATGATGCACCAAGACATGGAGTTGTCATAGACTCCACAGACTTTCATTCTGTCTTCAACTTGTTAATTGTGATTAGCTCGTAGTCTTTCCATTCTTCATCCAACAACACTCCAAAGAAGAGTGTGTTTATGTAGTGTAGGGGCTTTCTCTGCTATGAATTAAGGCAAATTTCAAGATTCATGATGTAGCAGACACATTGCTGCATATGATGTTCATTCTCTAAAGGTATTGCAGTCATGATCCTTCATCTGTAAAAGAGATTCTCTGCTGTGCATTCAGAGGTTTATCCATTTTGGTGGGTGTCGCCCTCTGAGGAATTACGTTTGTGCAAGGCATGCCTGGTCATTCCTGATTCTCATTCACTAGGCTGAGTCAACTTCAGTCTCTTGTTCTGGAAATGCAAGTTTTTGTGTATGCAGGGTTTCTGGTGAGGGCCTGCCACCAAGTTCCATCAGCAGCAGGCTGCTCAGATGGAAGGCTGCCTGGTCAGCTTTTGCAGGTGGTGATCATCTGTTACATGTAGCATAAGGAGAAATGGGTAACAGTAATTGTAAAAATCAGTTGGATCTAACAAGTTTGGATTGACTGGGACTCAACTCAATGACCTCTTGTAGGATCTGGAAGTTAAGACCTAGCCTGCTTACTCACCTGCAGCGCACCTGAGGTGAAGGCCATCCTTGGTACTTTTTAATGGGGAATCTCCTTTTCTAAAATGAGAAAGGTTGCATGGAATACAGTTTTATCACAAGGAAGTTAAGCAGTCAGTGATGAATGAAATCAAATACAGAATTCTTGGGACCCAAACTGTGTTTTTCCTAATTGATATTTTCTGTGTAATTTGACATAATCCACATCAAGAAAGTCTGCTGCATTTTTACAATATTCTAGGATATTTTTTCTCAACACCTTTGTACCCTTAGCAATTTGGCAAGTTTAAAAATAGCAAGCATATAGAATATTGCTTCATGAATGACTCCAACTCAGCAAAGGTTTCCTTGCTGTGGTGTATAAATTAGCCAAAGAGGTAACAGCTCAGAGGCAAAGCTTGGAGTTTATGCAGTATAAAGGGAGGCTCTCCCAGCCTGGGAAATTATCCTTTTAACTGCTGATTTGTCATGTGTAGGGCAGCTGTGTGATATTTATACAAATGTATTTTAAAGTAGAATATAAGAGATTCCTCAAAAATATCTACAACCAGTAGCCTGTTATAGTAATAGCTACCATGTCTTACAGTTGCATCATCTTCTAAAATTTACTGTGAATAAGCAAAGATAAAATTTTCTGCTCTAAGGAAAAAGAAAAGCTACTTTGGAGTTTGCAATAATGAACTAAACAAGTTTACATGAGCTAAAGAAATAGAATTAATTGCCATCTCTAATGATCTGAGTGACTGGGCTTTCCATCTTATATCTGAAATAACTAAGTAGAAAAAGAGGGTGAGTGAATGTGTTTGCTGCTGCGGTGCAGTTTCCTGAGGTGGTGAGGTGATGATATGAGGCCAGTACTGAAACATGACTTTTAATCCGTTCTTCATTCCGACGAGGGCTTGTTCTGGCCCACCAGCAACTTCACTTCTTGCTTATCTATGCTGGAATTGAGGCTCTCTGCCTCCTTTTCCTGCTCGGGGACGCAGGTGCAGCCCACGGGGATGGTGATGTAATCCTCGGTGTAGACGTAGCGGCCGCCGGCGCAGGCGGGCGTGCGGCGCAGGATGACGGTGGGCATGAACACCGGCGTGCTGCGGAACTGCAGGCTCTCCTCGCCAAAGAGCCCCATCAGGCAGCCTTTGCACAGGCAGTAGGCTTCGGGAATGTACTTAGGGTATCTCGTGGGATCGTAGGAGATCCTAGAGGGAAGCAGATAAAGATTCATTAGTACCTCTAAAACCAGGTATATTCATCTGGAAATATATCATCTTACATATTATTATAATTATTATAGCATTATAATGATTATATCATGTTTTTGTTGTCTTCGCCAGGAAAAACAGCTGTAGCTGTTGCTGTCTGGCTTCTAGTGTGTAAGGTGTAAAGAAAAAAAATCATGAACAGGTTACAGAACTGATTAGGTCCTATAGTGCACATGGGAGTGTCTAGCTTTCTGAATTGTAATATTCAAGGCTTTAATCAGAACGAGTTTTGCAGTTTGGACCAAATGGGTAAACAGAGCATTAAAAAGGACACTTGGGCATTTCTAAACTTTTTATCTGCCTTGAGTTCTTCAAAAACTGGTACAAATCCTTGTTAACATTATTATTGTTAAAGCCATGACATGATGTTTTAAAATTCAGTAATTTAAATAAAATTGAATTGTACTATTATTTCTGAAATAGATTTTTCTCCCTAGTATATTTGGGGTCATAAATGTGCATTCCCCTTGAAAGCAGAACTCTGTATTGCTTTTCTAATTCATGCCTACTGTATCTTCCTCTAACCACAGAAGAGCAACATTTTCATGCCCACTGCAACTTCCTGGGATGAGGCATCCACAGCTTCTCTGGGCAGTGTCTCACCACCCTCACTTCTTAATTCTTCCCAGTATCTGATCTAAACCTTCTGTCTTCCAATTTAATGCCATTATTCCTTGTCCTATCACTCCATGCCCTTATGAAAAGTCCTTCTCCAGCTCTCTTGTAGGGCCCTTTTAGATACTGGAAAATTCAGCCTGTCTTTATAGGAGAGGTTCTCCATCCCTTTGAGTGTTTTCATGGCCTTCTCTGGACTCATTCTAACAGGTCCACATTCTTCTTGTGTTGTGATCCCAGAGCTGGATGCAGTCCTCCAGGTGGTATCTCTTAATAGATCTTAAAGTGATCTTAAATCTTAATAGATTTAAAGCAATTTCTAAATTGTGTTTCCCAGGGTTGGCAGCACTTCCTCAGGTATCAAAGTGTTCACCTTTTATCTTTCCAGGCTGTCTCTGAGATGAGAAGAGGTTTCAGGTTTGGAACAGGCAGAACCCTAAGTCTGCCTCAAGCTGTGACTGCAGCCACTGCTAGTAAACAAAATCTGTCCTTGTGAGAGCAGGCAGCCTGGCTCTCCCTCTCACACCCACCCCTGGGTTGACACTGGTGTTTTTCTGGTCACAGGATTGATCAAGGAACTCATTCAGCTGAGGAGTAACTCCATCAGAAGCTGGGGTTTGGTCTGTCAGCTGTCTTGCCACACATACACACATATACACTCTGCAACAGCAGGCCAGAGTGAACAAGCAGCTTAGGCAGCAACATAAGGGAGCTGCCCTTTTCAGAAGTATTACCAGTTTATCTGGTTAAAGGAAATCTGAAATCACAGCTTTTGCCAAACACAAACTTGATTATCATGTTGTCAAGGAAAATAGACTTTTAAATTAATATATATAAATAAAATTTAAAGAATTCGTTTTCCTCACCAAAAAATCTGACCAGTTCTCTAATAGCCAGACACCTGTGATGTTGCAGATATTTTTTGCAATGCTTCTCTGTCCCATTTATACTCACTTACTTTCTCCAGGAAATACCTTCCTGTTACAGGATCTCACACCAGTATGAAATAAAATATGTGGTAGCCAGCAGAAGGGAAGAAAGGGGAACACAGGCCTTTCTACTGTGATACATTCCCATTTCAAACTCATGTGTGAGTAATATCAGTGGTGGATTGTTAAACACACCATGTGTCAAGTTATTGGTATTTCCTCTATTGTATTATCTCTAGCACCTGGTTTATGATGTTTCTGGAAAGCATGAACATGCTTCTGCGTGCAAACATGAAAGGTTTCACTGATAACAGGAAAACACTGTCACTGGAATCACGGTCTGCAACCATCTTTCTCCTCCAGATTCCCATGTGGAAAAAGTCAGGTATTAATGGGGTGGGTTTTTTGAAAGATGGTGTGGTTGTGGCATGGTTTTCTACTTTCCAAGGGAAAAAATCTCTTATATTACTAAGTTTAATGTTAATACATCATGTGAGGACTGGAACAAATCAGAGAGAATCCAGACTTAGTGATGAATTCAAAATATAGATGTGGTTTTGCATCCAGACCAGAACTTCAAGGCTGAAGCCTGTAAGTAATGCCTCCTGAAATTAATACCTGAACTCAAATGTCACTAAAATTTGGAGCCCTATACAAGGTTCTGCATCTTCAGCTCAAACTTATTCAGAAAAGCCGTATAAATAAAACCTCATTTGTGTCTTTCTAGGCAACCCCGGCCTGCTTGGGTCAGAGCCACTAAGAAACACCAACCACCTCAAGCCATGTTTTAACATCTCCTGGAAGAGGGTAAATATTTTCTATTGGATTAATTAACCAGGTAAAACTGCATGCTCCAAGTTCCTGCTATTTACACCTAAGAGATGGATGGAGCTGGGAAGAGTGGTGGTGAACCAGAGAAGTGCAACTTTTCCTCTGGTACTGAAGTGTCCCCTGCAGCTTGTGTCACTTGGCATCTGCCAATGTGGCACTGCTGCAAACCAGCCAGCCCAGATGCTTTGATGAGGATTGCCCGTGTCCTGTGAACTCAGGTCACCACTGTGGAAAGCTGAGTCTGCCCTGCCAGCACTGCTGGTTCCCAAGTGACAGGAGCAGTGACCTGTGCTGAGCTGCTCTGTTCCATCTGCTGGAACAAGCAGCAGGTTTGTGCTGAACTGGAGCTGCTAATGAAGTGTGACTCGGCTGCTTTTCCTTCTGACCCTACGAGCGCTTTGAGAGCTCCCAGTGAAAAACAAACTTCCTGCCATTTATGTACTAAGCCTGGAAACTCAAGAGAAAACTTCCTGTCAGAAGTAAAACTCTTGCAGAGACTTAATCTGCCTTCTCCTGTACTGCTACTTTTATATGTAGTATTTTTAATAATATTGTCACTTCATAATTTCCAAGCTTCTGATTCCACAGGGTCAGATGCTGTGCTGGAGCAGGGAGCCAACTCTTCAGAAAATCACTGTTAGCACTGGGCTAACAGCTGGATGTTATCAAAAGTCTAATAAGCAGATCATCATCCCCTTCCTTCACACTCTGAAATACTTAGAGGATTAAGAGCTAACAGCTTTTTTTCCCCCTTGCCAAGACATTTATTTCCCTACAGCAGGTGTTCTTTTGTTCATGTAATGCTTTATTTTATATACAGGCAGCAACATAGGTATTACTACTGTAGAAATAGCCCAATGCTAACTGATTTTCTGAAGAGTTGTACAAATGTGCTCAACTCAAAAAGAATGGCAGCTCTGCATCCCCTTGTATTCTTTCCCTTGGCTGGATCTTTGGGACAGGCACACCGTGCCACATGGTAACATTAAATCCTGGAAAATGCCTTGGGTAAGCTTCTAGAGAATGACTGGAGTATTATTTGAAGGGAAGCCCTCCTGTATGACTGTTCAAACACACTGCAGACAAGCTTGGCTTTTACCACTGAAAAATGACTTGCCTGTATTACTTGTATTAAGAATTTATGTAAATGAGCACTAAACCAAGGATGCTTATAAACTGAAGCTGATTTTTGCAAAACAGAAAAAAACAAGCTGGGCAATGTTTTGGAGAGGGTCTGGCTAACTTGGCTAACATCATCAGAGCAGCACTGACAATAAAAGTTAAATCTTTGTAAATTAACCATTAGTACATGCAGGATTAGGCCCCAGAGGCAAAAACAAAAGCCACAGAATTTGGAAATTCAGAAACATGGATGACTTCTTGAATACACATAAAGAAATTTGTTGAACTCATGTAGAAATGTGTTTGCAAATTAGTTATGATTGTTATTGTAGCCTTAAGACGACAGAAAATAAAAATAGAGCTGATATATACAGCTGGTTAATGAATATCATCTGTGCTCTGCAGCACCATGAATGGAATCACAAATTAGCACTACCTGTAAAAGTGCTGCTGACTTCAGCAGGATCAGATTTTTCAAGGTTTGCTCTGAGCTTTATGATCAGACCCCCACAAAAGTTTAGGCAGACATTTAAAATTAATCCTTTTTATAATGGCTCTTGTCCATGAGCAACTTTTCTGTGCATCTGTGGAGCTGTGCTTGCCCTGCTAATGATTCACCATGATTGTGGCTTCTGTAAATGTTAACAAGGGCATGATCCTGTGCTGTCAGCAGGGTCTGCAGGCCCAGCCATACCATTAATTCTTGTCAAGCAGCTCTGACCCATAGCAGTAGCCAAGTGGCCCATGCCAGGAACTCCTTGTACAAGCAGGCTCCCTGGATTTCATTGACTGTCCATGTAATACTGCTAGAATGGACAAGCACAAGCAACTCCTGGGTAGATGTCACAAGATGGCACACAGTCAGCCTGATGATTTCATGGAAGGATGATTTCAGGGCAGAACTCCTGCTGCTGGCTCTATTTTTTTAAAGAAGCTGGGTAATTTGTAGCCCAACTTCCTGAACTGCTGAGCAAATCCAGCGTGCTCACTGACTTCAGGGAACTCTGCTGTCTCTTTATAGCTCTGCAGAGCAAAGAGTGATTCACGTGATTCAGCTCTGTGCCCTGAGTTATATACTGATCTCCTGTGGCCACCAGGATGGAATTTCAGTATCAGACACATGAACAAGTATTTTCTCCATAACTTTTGCCTTAAATACCACCTGTTGGTTGCTGCTAGCATCAGGGTCAGGGACCAGATGGATCTGAGGTGCAATCCATGTACAACTCCTGTATCTCTGGTTTGCAGCAAGCCAAAAGTGATGTAAGTCTTGATTTTTGTATAACCAAATTAAAAGACCAAGTAATGGAAAATAAACAGTAAGCACAGAGCAAAGATAAGCAAAGAAGCCACACAAGGATTATCTGAGCTTTGAGCCAGTCAAACCTAATTCTTCCACACTTAAACAGAATGACAGGTTTGGGATACAGATGATGCAGTAGAGTCAACATTATACACAGTTCTCTAAGAAATATATTTGATTCTTTCTCATAAATGCTGATATGAAAAAATTCCAGTTGACTTGGACTGAACAGTCATGTGAACAGAAGAATTACAAGCAGCAGCGTTAAACAGCTGGGAGCAGGTGCCTGGGGAGATATTCAGGGAAAGGTAAGTAGAGCCAGACTTAATATCTTTATTATTAATGACCTGGAATAGGCAGTATAAACAGTATGTTAATGAAATCTGCAGATGGTAACAATGGGAAATGCTGCAACGCCAATGAAGACAGAGAAACAGCATGAGGTATCTCAGGCATTAAAATGCATGTCAAAAAGAAAAAAGAGCCTTTATGCACAGAGCAGAAATGAACTGCACTGTAAGTCTTTAGGTGCAGAAAAGAGCAGGATGTGTGTGAGACGCTGGAACGGGACAGGCACCTTGATGCAAATTTCAAGTAGCCAAATTCAGCCTTTGAGCAGTTTCCTATCAGGGCATACAAGAGGGGTCTGCCCACAGTGAGTTTATTTATGAGCATTCACCACTAGAACAACTTTGGTGATTCAGAAGGCAGTGCAGGAGACAGCAATGAATCTGTGAAGGGGAGCAATTTACGAGGGAAAAGAATTAAAAGCAAGTAAGCTTGTTGAGAAAGTGCTGTATGGCACATGGCTGTGTGCAGCTTTTCAGATTAACACTCCAGCCATGGAGAAGAAATTGATGGGATTGTATAAGTGAAATTGGTTAACCATCGACAAAGCCAAATGGGACATTACTTGCAGTCTTTAATGGAGAGCTGTGTGTCTCTCTCAAAGACATGGAGTAACTCCAATAGGATTAAGGAGCTTCCAGGGTACCCAGCTGAAGACCATAGAACAAAACATATATTCATATCTAGCTTCAAAATCTATGAGATAGCAGGTGGCAATAGCTAATGCACTTTAGCAGTCTTATATTTTACATTTTAATTACACATCTTGAGGTATCTGTTGCTGTCTCATTGCATGCTAATGATACAGTAAAAATGCAGTCACAAAAATGAAGCTGTAAATGAGATCTGTTAACTAGAAAGAGTGCTCAGGCCTCTTTACCCTAGAGAAACATTTTCCCCTCTGAATATAATTTTAGATTTTGCTTTTAATGGTGTAATACTTCTTCCCCACTATCTTTAAAAATTCCTAGTTGGAGATGTCATCAAGTTACTTGTATGTGAATGGTTAGTGGTCTGTCTGAAAACACTTGGATGAAAAAGTACAGTGGATTTACTTTTGTAAGCCAAGCCCCAAAAAGCAGCTGGTTCTCCGTTAAAAAGTAAGCCTATACAGAGCTGCAGCTGAAAATAAATACCTGCCCAATGAGACATAAGGACGAAGGCACTGTTTTCTAACCAGAGGAACAATTTTCTGATAGCACTAGTATTTTGCAAAACCACTGTTAAAAATACCTGAGCCCAACTGTAGGTGTTTTGCTCATGGCATTTGCTTTGTGCACTCTTAGGTAGCTTAAAAATCCTCAGTTTTCTTAGAGAAAATGTATTGCTAAAAATACTTTGCTTATGAAAGGCTTACTGAGCAAATAAACCATCTTTCTCTCAGTAGGATTACTTCTTACACTAAAAGCGAGCAAAACCCATGCCATAAAATAAATATTTATTGGAGAGCCTAACAAGGAGATAACTGTTTGCTGAATACACAGGAGCTGCATCAAAGTATATACCAGGGATAATGTATAAAAAGTAGCAAGAAAGTCAGTTCCTTTTAAGTTTGCACGTTTTAGCTTCCTGTTGTCTGCAGTCCTTTACAGAAAGCTGTAAACAGAACTCAGTCTTATTCAAACCACCAGAAGGCTTCATAGTCTTCTGAGAATGTGATCACACACTGGGTTTAGTGTACTAGATCAGTGGTTTCCAAGCTTTTCCAGAGCTTCCAATAGAAGTGCAGGCCCTTGTTTTGTGTATAAACCAGCCTCACAACAAATTTACTTTACTTTGTTGGTTTTATGCCCCCTAAAAATATGCCAGTCCCTGTTTCCACCTCAGAGGAAGGAGGTTTGCAAAGCACAGGTTGAAAACACAGGTGTAGAATACTGCTGTACTCATTCCTTGCCTATGGTCCTACAGCAAAGGGGACATGGAGCCCTTGGGACTGTTTGGTAGGTGAGGATATGGCTCTGGTGGTGGGTGACCGGAACACAGACTGTACCCTGAAGTCTTTTAGAAACAGCCGAGTGTCTGCTTTTGGGAAAGCATCTGAACCCCTCTGTGGCTGCTGCAGAGTCAAGAGGTGCTTCTTTGGTGGTGGTGGTCCTTTGCTGAGGCTCCTCTGATTGTCACATACGGCAATTTGCCCAAGTGACTTTTTGAGGGTTGTCTGTGCTCCCGGGTGGGTGTGGATGTGGGTGTGATCTCCATCTCACAGCTTGCTCCACCTCATTCATTTACCTTTTTGTCCATTAGACATAGCTTGTGCCCTCACACAAGCTGTTTTTACATAATTACCTTCTATCGCCTACTTCGACGTGTGTTTTAGCAGCTTTCCTGGCTGCTGCCCTGTGCCGCCGCCACCCCTCGCCTCCCTCGCCGCCCCGGCAAAGCCGGCGGAGCCTGGCGCTCCCGGTCCCGCACGGGGACCCCGCCCCGGCTCCCTTCAGCCCTCCGGGCCCCCGAGGCGGCCGCACCTCCCTTCCCCGGTGCCCAGAGTCACCTGTATGCCCAGGGCGATGCGCTGCGCAGGTTGACGGGGAGCCGGACCCTCTTGTCGGCGGGCGGCCGTGCCCCGGCGGGGCAGCTGGCGTTGTGCTGGCGGCCGGGCGGCTCGGGCTGCAGGGTGTGGTGGAAGGCGCTGAGCATGCCCGCCGCCAGCCGCCCGTACAGCTGCTCCAGCAGCTCCTCGGGCCGCTCGCCGCAGCTCCGCGTCCGCGCCGGCCGCTGCTTGGGCGCCCTGGCGGCCTCCGGGCGGAGCGGGAGCAGCGCCGCGCAGAGCAGCGCCAGCAGCGCCGCCGGCGCCGCCCGCACCTGCAAGGACGCCGCCGTCAGCGGGGATGGGGACAGCGGGGACACCGCGCCCGCCCGCCCGCCCGCGCCCGCAGCCCCCCGCCCGCAGCCCCTTACCCTGCCTCGCTGCATGGCGCCCGGGCTGCTTCTCCTCCAGGGAGCCGGGGAGAGCGGCGGGCTGCGGCGCCGCGCCGTGCCACTGGCTCTCCCGGCGGAGGAGCTGTTGGAAAAGTGCCCCGCGCCTCACTGCATCTCCCCTGGCCTCGCCTGCCAGGAACATGTTCGGCGGCGCTCACGGCGGCGGCGAGCGCTCGGCGCGGGCCGGTCCCGCATCCCAGCGCGGCCCCGGGGACACCCCGCGGGCACGGGCGGGCACGGACGGATCCGGGCCCCGGCCCCGCCGCCGGCACCCCGCCGAGCTACCGACCCTGCGCGCCCCGCAAGCCCGGGGCTGCCGTCGGGAGCCCCGCTCTCCCTCCCACCGCACCGGCGGCACGGGCGGGAGCCGGGCTGTCCCCAACCCCGCCGGGACACGGCTTCCAGTGGCACTCTCTGGGCCAGGGCTCGAGACTGAAGCAGAGCCAGGGCGATTTGGCCCAGTCGGAGCCAAAGTGTCAAGGCTGATGTGAAAAAATGTGGGGATTTACAGCTGGAGAAGGGACTGCTCTAGCCCGGACTCTCCCAGTCACTTTAGGGCAGTTGGCACTGTCCCTCATAGGAGTTTATGATTTCTGACTTACCCGACTCCAGGTAGCACCTTTGGCACCTTTCTCCATCCCAGCTGTGCTGTTTCTCCAGCAGGCACCGAGGTGCTGATGTCCAGCATGAAGGCTGGGCCTGATCCTCCTTTCCTCCTGCCCAGGTGGCCTGGGGCAGACACCCAGGGCAGGGTCACTCTGCTGGCTGCAAGAGGAGCCCCTTCAGAAGAAGAGAAATTGGCATTGTACCTACCTAAAGGAGGTTGAGGTGAGTCTCACCTCCAATGGCTTCTCCACCTATTCTGTACTTTTAAAAACACATTATACAATATAATCATGGTCTCTGTGGGTCTCACAACCCACAAAAATAAGAATATAAATAGTACTCTGGCTCATAAAAGATGTGGTCCACTGAAATGGTGTGCATTATAAACAGACTTTAGAATTCATCACTTGAATCAAGTGATTAAGTCCTGCACATCTGTTAAGGCATTAGGATAGGGATAAGGATAGTTAAATATGGAAATACAGGTTAGGAATAATGGAAAAAGGGATCATAAATTATACAAAGACTGAGAAACCCCAACTTGGTACCACAGAAATACAAGATATCAACTTCACCAAACAGGCTGGAGTTGAAACAGAATGGTCTGGCATTCATAAATGTAATGAAGTGTCTTGATTTTGTGGTTTCTGAAAAGTCATGCAGTTAAATCTAACTATGATTTTCAGTGATTTTTGTGCCATATGCATCACAGATCAATATCACTTATTAGCAGTGTCTTGACCTTTAACTGTGTGGGATTTGAGTCAGATTTCAGCTCTGAGAAAGGACAGTTTTAAATTGAATTCCAAACTCTCCTCTGCACTCCTATCCTCAGGCTAAAGACTGGGACAAGGTGTGTGTCCATTTAGCCCGGTCCAGTCTAACCCCTGACCATGCACCTGGCCTTTTGTTATTTCACCACCTTTGAGTGGTGTGTGTGGCAACATGGCAAATATTTATCACCATAGGTCTTTTTATATTGCTCTTCCTGACACCAATCAGCATCTTCAGAAATTTCAGATATCTGAGTAGCATGAGGATGTCACACCTGGCTTTGCAAAATGTGAGTTTTATTTACTTCCTTTATATGCATCAACATTTCTGGGAGAGGCCTGCCTCAAAAAATGAGAGCAGATGAAAACAAAACAATGGCACAGACATTAAATTGCCATTGAATTTAAGGCTTTGTGTCTTATCTAGGCAATATTCTAATTCTGTATGACATTTGCATTGTATTGTCTTTTGAAAAATCACATTGATTCAAATAATAAGAACCACAGGTCAGCAAGTGAGATTCCATTACAGAGGAACTCAGAGAGCTGTGCCAGTTCTTGTGGCATAGTCTACCCTAGAGACATGTGAGTCATAAAATATTCCCTAATACACTTTGGCAACTTAGGTTCCTCCATGACCTTAAGAAATTACTAGCCAGTATCTTTGTCATTGGTGTTAATTTTGAATTTTCTTAGAATTTGAGAGGGATTTAAAATATCTATACAAATGAAATATTGAAAAAATATTTAGTAATATGAAATCCATCCTGAATTTGATATAATACAGGTTATTTCAATCAATGGATTCAGAACTATGTCTTTCACTTTTACCTAATATTCTAAATGTTCTTTCTGGAGATTGTCATTCAATATTTGTATTTGGGACTGGTATCTACCTCTCTCCTGAGTTTATCACCACAGTGATCAGTGTCAGATAATAAGTTCAGTTTCACAAATTCCTGCTATGAGAAAGTTAGGATGTTCCAAAGAAAACTAAGCTCAGCAAGTGAAATGTCACTAAAGACATTTTTAGTGAGTTCATATAAATAAGAAGAAACTTTTTCTGCAGCTGATTCCACCAGAGAGCATTTCATGCCATGTTAAACACTGAAATGTGTTTAACGAAGGACACACCAGGTTTGTCTTCAACCTTACATTGTTACTAACAGCTGGAGAAAAATGTGTCATAGCAGGAGAAAAATATCCTTTTCAAATATGTTATCATCAGACCATTATGATAATTTGGGAAATTGTTTCAGAACCATTGGAATGATGGTGAAAACCTGACAGTAAATGTAAGAATGCAGCTCCTTCCAGACACATTAATCCCCAAGGAGTAGCATTGTCAGGATGTTTTCTGGTTGGGGTTGTTGTCTTCCATAGCTGCTGTGGCACACACAAGAGCCAGTTTCAGATACTATGGTTCACACATAAATAAATCACATTATTGTGACAAACACTACAAAAATGGCAGAATTACTCTACACTGGCATATTCCAACTGCTTATTCCCATCCTGCTACAGCATTAATGAGATCCTGTCTCTATCTGAAACAATGATGTGAAAAAAGTTTTAAAAATCGTCATACAGACCTTCAAGTTGAACAACTCAAGTTGTTGGGTGGAACAAGCATTCAGCTGACATCCCCAGCAGATATAAATTTTCAGAGAAAGAATTTAATTACTCCCCAAAGATGTCCTTCTGCCTCACATTCTGTTTGCAGATAACCTGTCACCCAAACTCTTCTGTTCCCATTCATCTTCCCTGCAGTTGTAATACCACTTTGCAGCGTCCTTGGCATGGCATCTTCTGCAGCAGCATCTCAGCACATTTTACAGTTGTTAGGCAATTTAACTATGCAAAAGTGAATTCTTGAGAAGTGCAGAATCTTCCGAAGACTTCATTTTGCCAAAGGGGAAACTGAGGAGCAAACAGGTTAAAAATAGCCTTTTTACCATAAAGTTGATCATCTGTGTCCTTGACTTCAAGAATAATAAAAACTTAGCAAATGAGATTAATTTCTTAAGATCTCATACTACTCTCGCAAAGGAAACAAGAGAAACAGCCCTTTATAATAAAATTTTATCATAAAACTATTTCTTGGCAATTTTGGATGCCCCATCCCTGGAAGTGTTCGAGGCCAGTTTGGATGAAGCTTGAGGAAACCTGGTCTAGTGGAAGGTGTCCCTGCCCACAGCAGGTGGGTTGGAACTGGATGATCTTTAAGGTCTCTTCCAACCCCAGCCATTCTATGATTCTATGAACTATACCTTTGTACAATTTTGAATTCCTATTTTACTCCGCAATAGCTTTGTTTTAGAAGTAATAAGTCATGTAATCTGACAAAGGATGTTCAGAGAAAACCATGAAATATGTGATTAAGAATGTTTTGATGCTATAGAGCTAGGCTTGTTCAGAAATAAATAAAACACTACTCAAGTAGTCATTTCTATTTGGCTCAGGTACAAAAAAATGTTTTTCATACATGCAAAGAGAAAGGTAACTTGGTATGTAAAGTTCCTACCCTGAGGAAGACCTCAAGTCTAAGAGGTCAGCTGAGGATTGTTCAATATTGTAAAATAGATCTTTTCATGATGATAGAAGCTAAGATACCTCATGCATCAGTTTCTCGAGGGGGTCAGAATTTTCCTAGGTTTAATGTTGCTGCTCCTCTAACATAAAATAATAAATTAATATAATAGCAGGAATCTTAAATTATTAATTGACTAATTCCACAATGATAAACACAAGATGGGGTTTAAATGCTGCTGGAAGCACATACCTTCAGTGTGTGGCTTCTGGAGATGTAGTCTGTTTTGTGCAATCAAGCCTGAAGAAAAATTTCTACTTGAATTTCATGGATGAAAGTGATTTAGCTCATTCAGGTTTCAACTCCTGTGGTTTCTAAGACCTATCTCAGGACTAAGGGCATCCTACACAGCAGCAGGGAACACCAACTCACTGCATCCAAGCTAAATACCAACCAAGGACAGGGTCAGGGACATCATATCAACACAGTGCATAATCCTATATAACCCAGGTAATTATTTGAAAAGAGCACTCCACATTTCCTTGGAGAGCTGAGCTGCCTGAATCACACAGGTGTGCTCACCTCTGGGACAGCCTGAGGCATTCCAACGTGGTGACCCAGCACTTTGGAGACGTCCATGCAGCTTCTTTCTCAACAGATCCCAGTCGTATTCATCTCATCAGGGATCACTCTTTGGCCTTCAGTCCGGTCTTTGAGTCTTGTGTTCTCTCATACAGAACATCTTACACCAAAGAAGAAGGATGATGCACTGAAGCTGCTTCCAAAGAATGGCTCCTGGCCCAGGCTTACCTTTGGATCATGCAAGCCAGTTGTCTGGGAGATGAATTGTCATGGTCCAAAACTGTGCTACTGTGCACTGCTGTGCTACTGGTCTTACAGAACAGCTGGGTACACATCCCCTCCTCTGCTCTGGGCTTGCCTGGCAATGTTCTAGTAGAGATGCAGCCATAGTCAACATGGCTTTGAAGTGGATGAACCTGGGCTACATCATTTTGACTGTCAGCAGGACTCATTATTCCAGTGTTGGAGCTGGATCACATGGCTTTCTGTCAGTTCAGAACAAGCTCAACTGTGCTTGCAAAATAACATGCAAATTCATCATAACCCAAAGCATTATATAATCAGATCCTCATGCTATAGGAAACAGCATGTTCCAGAAGTCCCTGGGAGTCTGTACACAGGAAACAACATGTTCCAGAACTGCCTGTGAGTTTGTGCAGGGCTGGAACAAAAGTGCAATTGTTTGTAATCCACAGAATTTTACCTAATGTAGTTATGCATCTGGGCAAACTGAATCAAGAAACTGGTGCTGATCAAAATCTCTCTGATATTGATCAGCAGGAGTGTTTCTATAGACTTAAGTTGTGAACTGTATCCCAAGGTATTGGTACTTCATGCCACTTTATCTTGGACATGCCTATGTGATTGCAATTTTTGATTAGATGCTGTATTGGGTTTGCGTGGCCAAACTTTGGTAGTGGGGGGGCTACAGGAGTGGCTTTTATGAGAAGCTGCCAGAAGCTTCCCCAATGTCCAGTGGAGCCAATGCCAGCTGGCTCCAAAATGGATGTGCTGCTGATTAAGGCTGGACCTATTAGAAATGGTGGTAATGCCTCTCAGATAACATATTTAAGAAGAACTCTGTAAAAAGTTACTGCACAGATGTAATTGTGGTCAGAGAAGAGCAGGGTGAGAACACATGAGAGGGACAGCCCTGCAGACACCAAGGTCAGTGCAGAAGGAGGGGCAGGAGGGGCTCCAGGCCTGGAGCTGAGATTCCCCTGCAGCCCTTGGTGCAGAGTGTGGTGAGGCAGCTGTGACCCTGCAGCCCATGGAGATCCACAGGGATGCAGAGATCCACCTGGAGCCCATGGAGGAGGCCATGCTGGAGCAGGTGATGCCTGAGAGGAGGCTGTGGCCCGTGGGAGGCCCCTGGGGAGAGGAGCCCATGCTGCAGCAGCCTGTCCTGGAAGGGCTGCACCCTGGGGAAGAGTGACCCACGCTGCAGCAGTTTGAGGGGAACTGTTGCTTGTGAGATGGACTCACATTGGACAAGTTCAAGGAGAACTGTCTCCCATGGGAGGGACCCCGTGGTGCGGCAGGGGAACAACTCCTCTCCCTGAGCAGCAGGAGAGGCCACAGAAGACATCATGACCCCCATTCCCTGTCTCCCTGAGCCTCACTGTGGGAGGAAGTAGAGCTGAGAAGAGAGGGGTGGGCGGAAGGTGTTTTGAAGGTTTATTTTACTACTCATTATCCTGCTCTGATTTTGTTAACAATAAATTCAATTAGTATCTCTAATTTAAATCTATTTCACCTCTGATGGTCTTTGGTGAGTGATTTCTCTCGGTCCTTATCTCAACCCATGAACCCTCTGTTATATTTTCTCTCTCCTGCTCAGTTGCAGAGGGGAGTGAGAGGCTTCAGTGGGTGCCAGGCATCCAGCCAGGATCAACCCACTGGAGTCTACTAAAATGTCTTTGTGTTGGAAGACCATGGCAGTATCTCTCCTGCCTTCTCTTCTGCACTGTTTCACAGCTTTGTCTATACTCCCTGCCAGAGTCCCATATTTTGTCCCATTTATTGTCTCTTACTGTGATTAACTCTGATACCTCATGCCACTGCAGTCTGGAGCTGAAAATACTCCCTCCTGTGTGGTACATTGCATCCTGGTGTCTTCCAAGACTAAGCCTGACAGAAAGAACTACCACGACATCCAGGAATCTGTCATTGTACAACCGGAGGAGTAGATACAGCAGGACTGAGGAACAGGCAAGAGAGACTTGCAGAAATAAGGCAGCTGCCATCCACTTCCTTCTCATGCTCTTTTCCATCCCTTAGAAGGATCAGGCCCCAGAGCTTACCTTGTCTTTCTTCTTTGGTGAGCCCCTTGGGGTGTTCCATAAACAGCACTGAACACATTCTGCTTGTACCATCAGGTGGAAGTGGTGCAATCCCAGATGAAACACTGCTCTGGTCCCATGGGAAGCATGCTACACACAAAGCAGCTCATACACCCCACAGGACACTTCTGACCACTGCAGACATCCTATGAAACTGGGCAGCATTTCTAAAACCTGAAAAAACATTTCATGAAGATACGAAGAGACTTCTCCACTGTCACTGGCAAACAGTCTGAGCAGCACTGAGAAGGAACACTGAAAATTTCAGAAGATTGAATTCTTGCAATTCAAAGTGCAATAACCAAAGCCTAACTATTAAACCAAACTCATGCCAGGGTTCAAAAAACAAGCCATCTCAGTGGACTAATTTTGCAAGTATTTATTAGGAAATTATGAACACCTGACTAATATTTTTCATCTCCCCAAAGTGATCCCTACTACAGGAATTTAACAGGTCTCAGTAACTTCAGATCCAACTTGTTCAGTTCATAAGCAAAATGGTGATTTCTGTAACTAACTTTGCCCATACTCAGGTTAGGCTGTAGAAAACTACCACTGTGTGGTCAGTGCCACAGTCTCCAACATAAGACTCAAAAGCTGCAGTCTAATTAGTGATTCTGAACAAACTAGGCTGAAATCCTGAGAACTCTGATCACTCAAAAAAAAAAAAAAAAAACAAACAAAAAAACCCCAACAAAAATAAGGACATTTTGCTGAGAGACTGCAAAAATGGTCCTAGATAATCTAAGAGTACGCTAAAATTAAGATGCTTTCTTTGGTATCAGTGCAAAGTGATTCGCTGAAATGGGACCTTAAGGAAGACCAAGGTCGTACCCAGCATTTTCAGGTCAGTTCACAGGACTTAAAAAATTCTGGCTTTGAATGAAGGATACAGGATTTTCGACCTTACAAGCATTGCTTCAAGGTATTCTGCATTGAAAGATGAAATTTTAGAGGCTTTTCTCTCTAATATTATCATTGTATGTACCTCTGAAAGCAAAAGCTTTCAGATACAGCTTGCAATGTGTTTGAGTACTTGTGTAGATCTTATGCATGAGTAAAATAACCTCACCATTATTTTTTTAATCAATCACAGAAGACACTGCAATTACAAATCCAAGTTTTTAACATAAGGTACCACATGTTCAAAGTATTTAATGAATAGTTTATAAAAATCCACTACAAAATCATTATGAATGAAAAGTGTTTCAGCTAAAACTTTTACAAGGATTAAAAAAAAAGATGAGCGGCCCATATGCTATTCTGGAAGCAGATCCTCTCCTAGTTCTTCATCAGCAAAATCATCTTCCTCCGTTCTTTTTCTTGCTGCTGTTTTTGGTCTTTCTGGTTGTGGGCCAAGTGGATCTGCGTAGGAGGCATCTAGGGTTTAAATAAATACATGTGAAACAGTTACAAACTATTTTAGCTTTAACTTTAGCTGGTTTTAAACATACAAAATCAAATACAAGGTTAGGATTTAGCACTACACATCTGTGTCTTTGAAATGCAGACCTGAATGAGCATGTGAATGCTGAAGGAGAACAAAACACTGCATTCAGGAACTGAGGCAGGGCACAAGAGCAAAGTTCCAGAGTTCTACTGATGGAAGACTCTTGGTGTTTTTTCTAATAGATTTCTCTTATTATACTACAGTGAGAAAAAGACTTTGGAAATGTGCAAGGAACAGCAAGACTGATGACTTGTTTGAGGAATGGCTTTTTAGGAAGTACCACATTCCACATGAATTTGAGTTTTTAAACCCCTTTGAAAATCCAGTCTTATTGAAGAACCTATGACTGCAGAATGGCAAGAACTGACTTAAAGGACACAGCAGACAGATATTGAAAGTAATATTAACAAGGGCCACATTTCTTAATATTTACAATAACTTTATAATGAGCTCTGAACAATGAAGTGAAAGCCTCATTTTCATGGGAAAATGTTTCCCCAATTATCTAATTTTACATACTCTTCCAACAACTTACATTTTTTCCTCTCTCCTTATTTCTCCTCTCCCTGAGGACCATGAAATTAAAAAAGGTATAAGATGTCCACTTGCCTATTTCTTTACTGCTGCTACCTTCATAGGGTTCATTTGTTCCAGGCAGAACTTTCAGTTTGGCACTCAGTCTTTCCCCTTTGGTACCACCACTATCTGGGGAACAGGGAAAAAAAAAAAAAAAAAGACAACATGCTGTTATGTTCTGTGAAACCACGATACAAGAATAACACCAATTCAGCTACTACTATCTGTCAAACTGGACTTGGATGAAACCATCTTTTCATGACAGACACAGTACTCATTTGTAATAGTGGTCTTTAAAACACAGTGGACACTGTGTCCACACGTGTGTGTGTTAACGTTTTTTAAAAAATATATACAGCCTTATGACTTTGGAGTAAACACATTAAAATATTTCTGCTTCAAATGCTGACATTTCAGTTGCTTATAAATTACAGGCACATTCTGGAGTTAAAATAAGCATGATAAATATATAAACACTGTCACAATGTACACTGGACATTTCCTATGTTTGTGTGCTTACTTACACATCAGTGTGATCCACCTGCTCAGTACTGTCAAGGTTAAATGCAACACTTAAGTTTGTTTTTAATCAGAAGAGCATATTTGCCATGTGCTGTCTGCGTGGCAGCAGGCTCAGTCCATGTGTACAGACCATGCTGGCCCTGCAGCTCGCTGTAAACACTCTGCTGGCAGCTCCCTTTGCAGCAGGGCCCCAAGGAATGTGTCGGCTCCAAGGGCTGCCTCCTGCCCGGACAACATCAGATTAACATTCTCCTGCCACAGCAGTATTCCAGACACTTGAAATATTCTCTTCACCTCTGATTCTCTTTTTCAGATTCATGGCAAGCTTTCAATCTCATCTGCTACAAAAAATTTTTATGCAATATTTTTTCACCTGGAGAAAACATTTTGAGTTTGACTCGGTATATTTACAAGGCAGGATGTGCAGCCAAATAGAGACATGTTCATTTACAACACCAAACAACGTGGGTATTAAAAGTCTTCCATCGTAAGGAGGAAAAATGGGTTTCATTCAGCAAACATTAATTACAAAGTCTGGACCTGGCAACATATTTCCATTGTCTTATTTAGTACAAATGTCATTTTAATAGATATTGTTATAATTAAAAGAAAAAAAACCAACTCCCCCCCAGATGTCTACAAAGATGACAAACATTTATCTTTCTATAAATACTACCACAGACTTCTGTTTGCTCAATCCTAAACTGGAAGACATCTCTGCTCCAAGAAAGATCTAATACATACAGTCATGTCAAACAGTTAATAAGTTCACAAGACACATATTGCAGTTGAAATTTCAAAGCAAGGAACACATATCTTAATGTACATCCACTTCCCTTGGACCAATTCTCACTGACAGGTTTCATGAAAGAAGTAATATTTGAAGAATTTGAAGAAACAGGGAGAAAACAATGAGTTTTCCTGGAGAGAAACTCAACTAAAGGGCTGTGAAATTACAAAAGGGTGTCCCCTTGATTTGAGTGGGCTCTGGACAGGCCTGTGCAACAAGAAGGTGAGAGCTGGCCTTCAGAGATGCCGTGGATGAAAATGTTTTGAGGAAAATACAAATAATCAATGAGAAAAAGAGTAGGATAGAAATAGGCACAGTCTTGCATAATGGAAAACAATTAATTTTTAACATGATAAATAAAGTTGTAAGGAGCCGTAAAGAGATGCAAAGACAGGAACAATACAGCAGACTACACTAGGGGAAGACTGAACTGGTTGAAGAAACTCCCTAGGTTTAATTGGTTGGTCCCAGAAAGGAAGAACTGCATGTAATGAAAATAAAAGAGGAGGCAAATGGCATACCAAATGTTTTCAGCTGTGAAGGAGGAAAACACATGGGTGCTAGGAATGCTGCCAGAGGAAGGTGAAAGACTTTATATTAAGTGAAAGAAGGAAGAAAAGGATGGTAGACAAACCAAACTGAGTGGGATTAACAGAATGCCCACTAGTTACCTGCACATCTTACTGCCCTAAAAAAATACAATTGAAAACAGAGGCTTCTTTAGATGTTCTAGGATCCTTAAGTTTTACTAGGTACATTTAACAGTAACCTAATGGAAATCTTTTCTCAGGTGGATCAACAAAGTAACACTGCTCACCTTACTTCTGTATGAGCATTATATCCAGCAAGAGTGAAGGGAAACAACCCTTCTGGTTAATTCTTCACATTTAATTTAGATTAGACTAATATGCAAAACCACATTAAGTCTCTGTGGACTGCAGTATGCTCTGAGCATACCTGAAGATGAGGAAGAGGAGCACCTTTCATTTTAAAGTGCACCCAGAAGAAAGTAAGAGGTGCTTGACACCATCTGCATTACATGGAGATGTCAGACAGCAGCTCAGGAAGTGAGATGTCTGGCTCAATGCTTTCTTTCAGCTGAGGGAGTTCAAACCCACAGCTCCAGCTTTCACAAGGAATGAAATGGCTGTTAAGCCATTTGGGGTAAGCTTTTCTTGACACTCTTGCCATGGGATACAGGATTTGGCTGCCAATATGGCAGCTATTAAAAATTCTGTTGACCATATAACATGATCTGCCAGAAGTCTAAATATCATCTTGAAATTATTTTTTGTAGTTCTGTTTGGAGAATCATCTACATGTTTTTATTTAGCATACATTCACACATAATTTGGCAATATTAAGGAATATAAGCTTGCAATATAGACTTCAGGATTTTGGTATCCTACAGTAAAGAAAACTTCAGGGAAGGAGTTGTTTTTAAAGCATTTTTTCCACAGACACACCTACTTTTTGGAGGCAAGTTTTACAATTTCTACTCATGATTCCCTGCTGCTCTCACCCCATCTAGGAAAAAGATTTTATATACCTTTTGAATTATGGGAATGAAATTAACTTTTACTAAAGTAATACACAGAAGAAAACAAAGATAAAAACTACAAATAAAGCTTTTCATTCTCACTGTTATCTACTAAGAGCACAGCTTTGAGTGTTAACATCTCTCTGATTGTACCTACAATCAGAAGACTACAGGTAGATATTTCTGAAACTGCAAATTAATTTTCTCTCTGTTACTGTATTAACTGTACAAACACCAGTACCTAATTCAAAGTAGCTTTTGAATAATGGAAAACCACTGCTGAACTAAATTGCTCTCTGTATCTAAGGAAACCTGCAATGAATACCCAGTCCTTATTTATTAACTTATTTGGCTTTTATTAAGTAAGTTATTACTGAAGCTCATGCAGAGGCCATCCCCCCTGTACTCATTTTGGGGTGACAATGTGGACACCTACACATGAAGTGACCACAGGAACACAGCTCCAGATTTCAGTTGAAAAAGCAACAGGAACCAATTAAGCAGAGCTGGTCAATATAAAATTTGATTTATAAATACATTTACTCTGTAAAATCATAATACTTGAGATTTGGATTACCATGCTGACATTACCTTCCCCTCATAGTTTCTGTTAAATAGCCTTAACTGAGGACTATGCATACAAAGACATAAATAATATACTCTGCATGCTGATATCTTTTACAGTGCATTCCTTCCTCTCATCTGTTCATAAGTCATGGCCATATTACTATATTTAGGATGTTTAAATTATTCTATTAGAATTGTTTCATTCATTTAGAGTTGTTCAATGTTTTACAAAAACTGATTTGAACTAATTCCTTCACATAGAATTTGGATGGGAATTAAAAAGAATCAAAATATAAAACCTAATTTTAAAAAATGACCAATTTTATATGGCAGAACAATGAATAATGCAACATACTGCAAAAATAATCCCTTTTTGTAATTTAAGTAGTGATACCTAGCAAAAAAGATTCTCTATCTTTTTATGTTTCTGTACTTCCTGTGTCAGACGATACCTGTGTGTACTTCAAACCAAAAAATCCATTGTATTTGTATTTATTTTTTTAGAGGAATCTAACTAGTTGCAATTACAGTGATGACACTATTGCATTGGAAATTCCTCCAGTACCACAAAGGACGTAAATCAGAATTTTTAGTACTCATCAAGAAAAGACATCAAAGGGTAAGATTGTTTGGTAATCTACCTCCTCTGTAAAATCTTTATGAAACAAAGAGCACAATGGGCTAACTCTCCAATAAATCCAGAATGTATTTAAAGTGCAGCTCAGTGTATCTCTCATATTTGGGATGGAAACACCATCTTTGGAGAAGAATTGGCATTGGTTTGACCAAAGAGAAGAGTAAGTTCAGTGCAGAAGGCAGAATAATATATTAAAACAGTGAAACAGCATGGGAAGTAGATGCAATTTATAACTTTGCTGCTGTTCATTTTGATTTGATATTCTGTTGATGAAAACTGTTTGTGGTGTGTCAGTTCAGCTCACTCCTTAGGTGAGTTCAGAGCAGAAAACAGATTAAGATGTTCTCTTCATTTCAACAGATTTTCCCTTCTCCATTAATTAAGAAAACTTTTTTCTATTCTTCACACACAGCCAATGGAACCCTCCCAAAATGACTTGTAATTAATGAGGCATCAACAGGCACACAAAGCCTACCAAATATAAATGATTGCCATGTCCTGGCTGAAGAGTAACAAGAAAATATCATCTTTATCACAGTCAGGATTATCTGGGATGCCTACAGCTCAAACATCTAAAACATACTTCCATAATATATAAGGAGATCCCTCTGGGATGGTAAAGGGTGTTTGAATATGGGAAATCTTTGGGGATGGACAAACTGACAAAGTCACCAGTGAAATGAAAAAGGGAAAAGACACCTAAATTATTCCCATGTGGTTTATTTTCCAAATCCATCCTGACAGGCCTAGGTAACAAGGAGAATGCAAAGTACTCAGCCTTTCCTCTTCTGAATTCAACACTGCTTCTGTGGGCTCCTGTCCGAGACTGCACGGCTCCTCTCATCCAGCACAGAACTCCCCATTCAGTGAGCTGGGCAAATGCAGAGACCAAGTAAACACTGCCATGGGAATGGATTCCTTAATGTCATACTTTGCATTATCTACACTTATAAAGGCATTATGCTATCAATCAGGAAAAATTCCTTATGCTGGTAAAAACCACAGTGCACCAACTGCTAAGTTCTGGATATTACAATCATGTATCTGCAAAACACAAAAAAGTGAGTATGAAAACAAGAAAAGATTATTGGATAGAAAATCTTTGAGAACTGCCTAAACTCAGATGTTACTGTTAGCTCCCTTCAAGGTTTCATGGTATTGTGGTTTTGGGGTTTTTTCTCCTTTTTAAAATTAAAAAAAAAAAAAAATTAACAGGACTGTATCAATGTCATTTGCTTCCAACATAACCCAAGTAAGATTGAAAACCATAAATCTGATAATTGTGGGGAGAAGAAAATTTCCCTTTCTATAGTGAGTGACAAATGTGTTCAATTTTGAGTAGGGATTTTAGATTTAATGCTTATCTCTCTCTCAGGACAAGAGCAGACTTTAACTGACATTGATATATAGACGTCAGTTTTCTTGATCTCTCTGTTCCATTCTGTCTACCATTCATGCACACATCAATTATATTGCTGAAATTGTGCTGTGGCATCTCACACACCTTTCTGTTTTAATTTATATTGGCAAAGTACTGGATGCCCTATGAAGTACAAACCTTGCTGGCTTAGTTCTCTTTCTTCTTAGCTTCCTCTTTAAAAGCAATTTTAGATCATATTTCCTAAAACAAGGAAACCTGAATTATTAATACTCTTAATACAAATAACTGTATGGGGACAAAATATTTGGAGGGGGAAAAATCTCATAGGAATGCTGACAAGTATGAGGACAGTGAGCTGCTAAGAGGAAAGAAAGAAAACAGGCATCATACTTAAAATATTTGGAATGCATAAGACTTCAGTTAGCTAGTAAGTACTTTGATTTAGCTAGCAACTACTAAACTAAGGAGGATTCCATGCTTCACTGGGTTCAGTAATGATGGCAAATCCCTCATACAGTATAGGAAAATGAACCCTTTTGGTCTTGGCAACACCACTGGAAAAGACTAACCTTAAAATGTATACATTTATATATTTTTTCTCTCCTTTTGAAGTCAATTATCAAAAGCATACTAATATTATGAAATAAAATAACCCATGTTTATATTTCATATGTATCTTCACACAGGCCATGCACAGGAATTTATAAAACTGCAAATTACAGCTCATAACCCAGGTGAACAAAGCCAAGCTTTGGGCAAAATAAAATGTTTGGGTGTTCAGGTGTCTATTAGTCATCCTCAGTACAATGTAGACAAAATACAGCCCAGTCCTTAACATCTGATGCTGTGAGTGTCCAGGTTCTTCACTGATAAGGCTCCCTAGAGCCAACAGTACCAGTTAAAATGTGCCCAGTGCCTTTGACTCATTCTAAAAATACATATAAGTAGTGCAGCTCACCACAACTTTTAATTAAGAATCCCAGCAGGAAGTTAACTCTAGGCTCAGTACAGGACCTTCTTTGTACCTTTGCTTGTTTGCCAAGTCATTTCCAGAAAGGCTGGATCTCTGGCACTGAATTTGTATAATGAAGACTTCTCAAACATACTCTTACACAGACTTGTTCCCAAACTGTGTTTTTTTCAACTCTTTCATATATTTGACATAATATCTTAAACTCAACAATCTAAGAATTACTGATAGGGCAAATTCTAGGTCAACACTTATCCTTCTTAACCTCTCATCCCCTTTCTTATCGGTTTAAAATTAAAAAAAAAATAGAAAAAAATTAAAAAAGGAAGACAACTTTCCATAGATACTTGTGTCTTTAAAAGAAATACTGACAAACTGGTAGTTTGTGGGATTTATATTGTCTTAGCATCCTTTCAGCATAAGCATTAGGTATACCTTCTTTTGCTAAATTACTCTCTCCCTCCTGAAACACGCCCCTTTTTCATGAATGAGGGTGGGGATAATTACAAAACAGAGCTGGAAGAGACCCTTTGTGTCATTTCCCTACACACCTGGTGCAAAGTTTTGCACAGCTGTAAATACCCTTGCCTGTTACCAATGCTGCTCTTCATTTCTTCTTGCTGGATGCTGAAGTGGATTCCTCTTAATGCCAGAGAACAGGGACCAATCCTGTCTCACAGTTGGCACCTCCAGCTGTTTTGTTGGCACCTCCAGCTGGCTGCCAGATCACAGGGTTTATGTAACAAAGGAGGGCCCAGAAACTCTCCATCCTCTTCCACCCTGCTCTGCTACTTAAATAAAGAATTACTTTGGCCTGAGGCCCAGAACAGGTAAAATTCAATCCTAGGTGAATGGTTGTTTCTTCCACACATCAAGAAATTACTTAAAAGCTTCTATAGTGAAATTACTGAGCTAGAAAAGATCTCTCTCAAGCACCTAACACTCACTCTTAGGCCTCAGAAAATCCAGGGAAGCAGTCTTCATAAATGTAACAGCATTCTAAAGTCCTCTTCAGATTACATTAGTAAGTGCCATGACTTTTCCTGACCCTACAGAATTTGGTAAGTGTAGTAAAATATCTGCTATGTAGGTGGAGAAATAAAATTACCAAATAAGAAAAAAAAACATCATAAAATATTTCTCTGTAAAAGGAAGGGAAGAGAGGCAAGAATTTACTGGGGATATCTTCTAATGAAACCCATTGATATCAAGATAAACCAAAAGCAGGATACAAATAAACCATTTCCTTTTTGGGTTAAAATATGGGGTTTTGGTTGGTTGGGGTTTTTTTTGTTGTGGTTTTTTTTTTTTTTTTTTTTTTTTTTTTGGTTTTGTTTTTTTTTTTTTAGGTGGTTGAAGTGGCCTGAAGTCTTCTAGTTTCCTTAGAGCAGCAGTGAGGGACTGTTAGGTTTACATTACTAATTTCATGGATTTAATAATGGGAGGGAAAAATCATTTGCCCTGCAACATGCAGGCTACCTAGTGCAGAAAAGACAATACAGGGCAGTTTCCTGACTTACATTGCAGGAATTTTACATTTATGGAAATCGGGACTGCAAATTTATAGAAGCAAGGAGACTGAGTGTCCAGAGAGGAAGATTTCTTCTAGGGAAGACTCTAGAACTTCAGTTCTGCTACCCAGAGATAAGGGGAAGGATGAGCTCAAAGATAGTAAAGGGTATGTTACCCTTAATACAGAGTTGGCTGCACAGAACAATCTGCTGGACTTGTAACAAACGCCTATCATAGCAGATTACACAGTGGCCACAAAATTCGTTTCCCTTCATGTTAAATAAAGAAACAATGAATTCCTATTTTCCATGGCTTATGTGTTCTGTTTTGTTATAACAAATGATTCCTTTTAGTAAATATTCCAAAGTTCAAAATGTTCAAATACCAAGTTAATGGGATAAAAACATTCATGTTCACAGTACTGAAAACAATCAGAAATTTAGCTTTAGGAATACAATAAGGCCTGTATATAAAACATAAATGTGGGACCAAATCCATGCTACTGTACCAGTTGCACTGAGAAAATCAAAAAGTATGAAACAAAGTTGCTGAAGCCCTTACATATTACTCAGTGCATATTTTTGTGTGTTTCAAGATGAAAGGAGGCTTTAGAAACACTTTCAGAAAATCTGTTTCCTTCAGGGTCCTGTCAAAACTGATATTTAAGCAGAGGCCTTGACTACTTACCACCACTTCCCTCTTTGCGGCTCCGTGCACTGCCCTCTCTGCCAGATTTAATGCGCTGCACGACAGTGGAAAAGGTTTGGAAAGAACAGAACAAAAAAACTAATTTAGTAATATATATTAGAGAAAATGATTGAAAATTAAACTCAGCTTGTTAATAAAACAGTAGAAGAATGTTAAACTAGACTTACTACACTGTAACTACTAAAGGTTGTTTTTCAATACAAAAAATTGTCCTTAAAATCAGGGTTAAATCCAATGTTTATATAAAACAAGAGTTCTGTGAAATGCAAATAGAATATCTCAGTAAATTATTTTTCTTCAGATAAAATTTATACAAGGAATGTGCCTAAAAATAGTTCAGATGTTCCTTTGTAAAGTACAGCTGAAAAAACAGGCAACACAGCCCTCCTTGCATGAGTTCAAAGTAGCCTCTGCCTATTAACATCTTGTAAATCCCACAAGCATTTTATTATTGTAAAGACTCAAAAGGGAGAAGTGGGGGAATCTATAAAAAGAACTATTCACCCTATGGATCTTGGATTTTGAATTTTTGGCACAGAACTGTATTTCACAGCAAAATTTAATTTGCTGTTGAGTGTTAAATGCAAGATAAAGGTGAAGGTAAATATTTTAAAAGCCGTGTTTAAAAGTCAGCTCTCTTGCATAGGGGAAGGTACCATAAACATCTCCCAGCTGTGTTTTTTTGAGTGTTATTTGAAAATTTTAACAGTTTATCAAAGCAATACCTTTGTATGACATGGCAGACTTAAATCTTCTGGCAAAACACCAGATTTCTTATGCATACATCTTGTCAATTATAAGACAGGACACCTCAGTGAGGAACTTTTTGATAGGTAGGTATAAGAACTTGATGTTTAAAGCACTCAGCTATTAATAAAGTATCTCTGCATCTTACTTCAAAATATGAATTCAGGATCTGATTAAAACACATGTCTTCATATGTTTCTTCATGTCATGTCTTCAGGTCAATTACTATAAATTCTTCACTCATTTTTCACCAGAAAAATATCATGAAGTCTGGCAAAGTTGGAATGATACCAAAGAAGTGAAAGAACTTTCAAGATTCATGCCAACAGAAAAAGGAAGAACTCTTAAATCAAAACCCACAGGAGTCAGACAGGAAAGCATTGAGCCTAGTGTGAAACTAGGACTGGTCTTGGAGCAATTCAGTCTGGGACCAGAATTTCTCACACTTTTTTATTTGCTTTGGGAAATCCTCAAGCCTAAAATATGTTCTCTGAATTTTGGATTAAATATCCTTTTCACAGCCCAGTGAAGTAGCATATACCAATCCTTCAGGAAGCCTGTCCAGACTCTCCCAACTGTTGAATGACTGACAACAAGTCTGACAGCAGCTCAGCTTCTGTCCACCCAAGGGAAGCAGTTCCTGTGTGATAGTGCCCTCTTGGCATTTACACCCTAGGACCTTCCTCCCAAAATATAACATAATAACTACAATTTAAACATACGATTAACTCCTGTAAAATTCCAAGTGAGTAGTTTGTAAGTAATCCCACACTAAAAGCAGACATTCAAAATAGGTTTCCACCCTAAAGATGCCTATTTCTCCCATGACTGCAAAAGACATTTAGGATAGTTAGCCCAGATGTGGATGCCTGAAGTCAAAGGCAGTAAGGCCCCTGCAGCATTTGCACCTCTCATCACTGCTTCTCAGCACAGCCCATCAGCCCCGTTCTCAGTCATTAAGCTCACTGAAGGGAAATAAACAGTATTGTGTGTACACAGCAGTGCCAAGGAGGCTCTGTGAACTTTTACACTATTACCTGTCTTTTTTAGAGTGAAACATGAAAAAGGCTAATGCAGTAAAAAACCCCAATCAAACAAACAAAAACAAAAGACCCCAGCTCCCCTCCCACCCCCACCACCCCTCAAACATTCCAACATATGAAGGTTGCAGTAAAAACTAAATGCTGTGAGAAGTAGGGAGAAAAATTTGTACAGGGAATGAACTCCACAGATGTTCCCAGATTCTTGGCTGGAAGTATTTAACAACTTGTCCATATTTGAGAACTGAGGGAAATAAGCACTCCAGAATATTTATTTTGGTATAAACTCCATGTGGATATACTTATTCTGGAAAAACAATGCCGAAATAGAAAATTTTGATAAATTTCTACAGGAAGACAAAGTCTGTGTGCAGACTGTGAAATGCAGGTACACTATCCTAGCATTTTACCTATTTTGTCTCTACTGGGTGCAATTGAGAAGTTAAGGGCTAGTCTAAAATTGGGAGCAGGAATTGAACTGTATCTGGTACTGCTAACTGAAACCAGTATTCCTATTGGAAACTTAGGTGGTGAAATATTAAAATTTGGTAATTTTAGAACTAGAAAGTATAGTTTATGACTGTATGGTCATGGATGACAGAAGGAACTTGGGAAAAAAACCCTAGTAATTTCCAAAGCCAGATGGCAGAGAGAAGACTAAAAATCACACACCCACCCCCAACAAAGAAACAAACAAAAAAAAACCTTCCCAAACCCAAAATCAGAGGATGGGAACCCAGATGTAACATCAATAGCAAAAGAAGGAACTGCAGGGCTATTGTTTGCAAGACAGCACTGATGTAGAGATTGTCACAGAAAGATACTCCAGTACTAATGCAGGACAGCTGCATACTGAATCACAGTGTGCCCTGAAACATCTTTCCTAAGAGTCTTTGCTCTTTTACCAACTACAACAGTGTTCATTATTAAGAAAACTGTGTCAGTGGGTTCCTTGGGAGCAGAAGAATTTGTTCCTTTCCTTTGGAAGGAACTTGCAAAGTTTTGAGAGTGTGGCAGAGAAGAAAGGCAGAAGAAGGAGATGGGAACATGTCCTGCCAAGACAAGGAGCAGCAAGAAGGAGCAGAAAGCAACTGATGAGACTTCAGAGGTTCTGAAGAGAGAGAGTGTACTTGGAACCACAGGGGCAGAATTTTGCTCCCATTCAGAGCTTACTCAGGCTGGAAACACTGGCCTGTCTGCAGGAATGAAGTTGACAGAACTGACAAGAAACCTGTTGTATTTTTATTATTAGCTGTGGTTTTTAGGGGGCACAAAGGAAAGAGGGAAGAATGTTTGTCTGGGGTTTGTTTGGGTTTTTTAAACTTACTGCATTTCATTTTATCTGCTTAAATGAAAATCGGTTTAGTTTCAATTACAGTACTATCAGGCTTATTCAAAAGGCTGAATTAATTTTTTTTCTTTTCTAGACACACTAGAGGAAATATTTAAGCAGATCTATCTTAAAGCTTTGACTAATTAAAAGTGCCATCATAGAAACCCTATCTGATCTGTTCTACTCTGCCCTCCTGATACTCCAGAGTTGTGTGTCCAGTTCTGGAGCATCCAGTGTAAGGACTTGGCCCTGTTGGAGAGGGCCCAGAGGAGGACCATGAAGATGAAAAGAGAGCTGAAGCACTTCTCCAGTGAAGACAGGCTGAGAGGGTTGAAGTTGTTCAGCCTGGAGAAGAGAAGACTCTGGGGAAATGTTGTGGCCTTTCAATACTTAAAGGGGTCTTAAAGGAAATATGGGGACAGACTTTTTACTAAGGCCTGTGGTGGCAGGACAAGGAATAATGGCTTTAAACTGAGAAAGGGTAGAGAAGGAGAAAAAAAAATGTTGAGGATGTTGGGATACTGGAACAGGTTGCCCAGAGAAGCTGTGGATGACCATCCCTGGAAATGTTCAAAGTCAGATTTGATGGGGCTCTGAGTAACCTGATAATGGAAGGTGTCCCTGCACACAGCAGGGGCTTGAAACTAATCTTCAAATGTTCCTTTCAACCTAAACCATTCTGTGATCCTGCTTTGCAAGGTTAGTGCTGTGACAGGATAGAGTCAACACACTCTTAAACAGGAATACTGAAATGCAAGACACAGAGGGAGCTTCCCACATCATGGCTGAATTATGGTCATTGTTAAAGCCTGAACAGTCTAAACCAAGTGTGCAATAACTTGTTCAAGTCTGTGTTGGAGCCCACTGATACTTCTGTCATTCAGGTATGACTTGATAAATTTCCTTAACACAAAGAAGTCAGAATGAAAAACCCCCATAATTTAAACATAATTTTTATGTTACTAAAATCTTAAGTTACTTAGAGGATTTAAACTTTTAAATAGTCTATCAGTAGCTTTTTCCTCACCAGAAAGTAATGTGTTTGGGAAAGCTCTTGCTTCCCATATGAAAAAAACCAGAAAGAGACATGACAAATTTTAGGTTTTTAAAAATTGTATTCAAATATTAACTTTTGTAAAGAAAAAAAGGTGTTTTCTTTAAAGTCCTTGACATTGCCCATCTACAATTAATGCCTTCAGTGTAGAAAAAAGCCCAGAATTACATACAAAGAAATGGACTTTCCTTCTCCAGGCACCTCTCTCTCTCTAGTCAACTATAAAATAAACCAGTTTTAACTGGTGTTGTTGGTGAGCTTTCTCAAGTAAAGCACTGAGGTATTGAAAGTTACTGCAACAAACTATGTATATTACTGACACTGAAGTGATCAGAAACCAAGCAAAGGCTGTTTAATACACTTCAGTGAATCTCTTAATTGTGAGCTCTGCAGAATAGGTACATTATATCTGTTTTGCTTACTGATACAATTATGGGGAGACATGGAGGAATATCAATCCCACTACAGCTGTTAACCGTTTTCTTTTGTCCATTTTCCCAAGTGCTTTGAATTGTACAGTTACTGAAAAACCCAGTCAGTACACTTCAGCTAGCCCCTCAAAGTGTGGTTGTAGCATAAAGCTGCAATCCTTCAGTCAGTGTTTCCCCTTGTGAGTTTCATTTTTAAAGTGTCCCCTTGCTCACATGCATACTCAGGCTCCCTGGAACTTAAGCAGAAGTAGCCAAGAATGCATGTGCACATGATCTGTCATCAAAAGGGACCAAAAAGTGTTAGTAAGAGCAGAGTAAATTAGTTAATACTTAAAGTATCCTAATGTGGCTATGAAGCTCTGAGGCAATTTTCTGGATAGGCTAACCAAGCTTGAATACTTTGCAGCTCAACAGCATGGATAATGCTTTTCAAGCAAGCAGCTGTTTTTAATTTTAAAATCTTATTTTAACACCAGAATAGCAAGAAAACAATGCATGAGTGCACACACACACAAACGTGAGCTCCCTCTTCTGAACAGAACACAAGTTATGATCTCATACCTTTCACAGCCTGTTACTTTTCCATGGAATTTTTTTTTTTTTTTAAATTGGCACTCACATGAATAGTTTACTTCTACCTATATACTATGTCAGTGCTGCAGTTTTGTATATGATGAAAAAGGAGTTCTTTCACATGGACAAATTCTTAGGCTTCCCATCTCTCCCTATAGTTGCATTATTACTTGGCTCATAAATACACTGAAGTATTAAATAAAATCTGGCGAGTAGGAAAGACGACATTCCACAGACATTGAATTATGTGAGTGGCTCTGGCATTCCCTCATATCCACATAGTCCATCTTTCACTAGTATTTAAAAATCACAGAAAATCTGGTACTCAGAAACTATTCAGACAGATGTAAGACTGATCAGTAATTTAAAACTAAGTCTCCCAAACCCCCAAAATATAAGCTTGTGTAAACCAGGAAGTTAACAACACATTTTGTCTTGAAGTATCATAAACATTACTTTAGCTTCACCTACCTTTGCAGCAATACTGTGTAATACACACAGAAACAAACTTACCTGCTCTCTGATTTCTTTTAATTTTTCTGCTTTCTTGAGCTTTGTTATATATTCCTGGACTTCTTTCAGCCCCATGTCTGTGCAGAGACGAACTAAAAATCTGAGGCCTAATTGGAAAGCAAAGCATTGTTAGAAAAGGATTTACAAGCAGGTCAAACTACAAGTGTACCCTGACAGACCTGGACATGCAGAATGGCAAAGAGTGCAAATAACTGCAAACAAGGTGACTCCAGTCCAGTATCACTATACAAGTTGTGATATTTTGCAAGTAATTCACTATTTTCTCTGTGTCTGTATCCATGAACAGTACAAATGCCATTGGTATATGTGGAAGGCAAAAGGCATACTAAGTATTTTGGCTCAGAACTCTTGACATTTGCAAAATATTTTGGAAAGCATAGAAATGATACTACAATATTACTAAGGAGATGCTATCAAGAGAATTTTGTTGAAAACAATTTTGCAAATGCCAAGTGAATCAAAATGGTTTTTTTCCTCTGTCTGTGGTTGATTTTCAAAGAGTAATATTCATAGAATTAAGAAACCCCAACAAAGCTGACATAAAAATCAAATGTAACTGTATGATTGAACTAAGAGAATCCCTGAAAAACATTCTCCTGAGACACTCTACCAAACTCTGAAAACATTGTTGGTATTCCTATGTGTTTGTTAACATTCCTTTCAAAGAACTGAAGCAGAAACAAGCAGGACATGATCCATTCTCTCCAGACTGCTTTCACAAACATGTTATTTCATTTTGTGCTAAATTAGTTTTCTGCTGGTTTAGGAAGCCCATGCTCAGGGATGGATGAGGGAAGAACCATTGTTTCAGTAGTAGAAAACTTAAATCAGTAAAAGTGTCTTGCCTAACTCCTGCCTCCATTTGTGAAATTTGTAGAAACTGCATTCAGAAACATATTTGCATTCTAAAAGGTTTACTAAATGCCCCTCTGAAATATGTATGACCAACACGAACATGATATTTTGCTTATAACTTGGGGGAGTTACAGTACTGAATTTCACTTGTACAAGAGAGCTGTGATTCCTCTTTAAAAAAGCAATAAATTAATAATAAATAAATCCTCTTTAAAAAAGCAATAAAAGCAGAATGATATGATTTTAAAATAAAATACAATGACTGTTCTTCCCACATTGCATCTAAAAGCACAGACTCGTTGGCGACAACCTTGTATTTTGGAATTTGTGAGGCACAGTGTGGGATGGAAGAGAATGTTTACATGACCACTGACAACCCTTGTTTTCTACAGGGCTTTTTTATTTACAGTACAGGTGTGACTGATTTTGCAAAGTGTCTTACTCTTCAAAGTTGTGTTTCCTGCAGTTTAGTTTGAAATCCTCTATGGATTTTCCAGAGACTGGGAGACCAGCTATAGTTAAAAACCCAGCAACAAAATCTCACCCTCAATGTTTTTTTTGGAAACCATGACTTTGATAAAACTTAGCAATAAGATTTTCTTGTATCTAGAAATTCACAGCAGGAATTTCAACTAGCAGGAACTAAAAGTACAAGTACATATATTTTTCATAAGAAAGATTAAATGAGTAACATGGTTATAATATCTAGGACATATGTATGAGAAAGAACTCATCCAATGCCACTCAGTTAAAGTTTATTTTCATTGCTCTTCTTCAGCATTACCCTCATATTTCTTAAATCACGCGTCAGTGTTGTCACAAAAAACCATGCAGCATTAGCATGAATAAAAATATTAGTTAATGGAAGTATTTTTATATGAAAAATACATCATATGATTACTAACACACCTATTCAATGTAACAAAGTTTCCTTTGATAGTTGCACCACAGAATGAGATAACTTACATTCAACATTCTCTGGGAATTTTCTGTGAATGACTTTGTATTTCTCCAGAGCTTTCTGGTAGTTGCCTGCAAACAAAACAAACATCTCCTATCCACACAGTCAAACATAAAAAAGAATATTTGACGAGAAATTGGAACACCTTAACATCAATTAATCTTTATAGTTAGAGTAAATTTAATATTGTAGGACCAAATTTGATAAGACCAAACTTAACATTCTTTATTAATGGATAGTAAAAATTAAAAGCATCTGAAAACAGTCCAAATTACTCTGTAAAAAACAGAATTAATGAGGAGGAGGTTACTGATTTTTGGTTTGTTTTTTTTTTTTGACCTTCCTCTATGACACCACTGTTCCAGTGTCTCACCATGCTCACAATGAAAAATTCCTCCCTTATGCCCAGTGTAAGTCTACTCTTATTCAGTTTAAACTGTTGCTCCATGACCTGGAACTGCAGACCCCAGTCTGTTTCCATCCTTCCCATGAAACCCTCATTATTCTCCCAGCTGAACACCCTCAATGAATTACAAAAGAATGTTACAAACCTGAAAGCAATAACAAAAAAGTTACAGAACTTACCACTTCTTCTGTAGCAACTGGCAACCATCAGCTGCCACTTCACTTGTGTTGGCCTGCATATAAATAAAACAAAATCATGTACACTGCCAAACAATGAATGAGCAAAATAATCTGCATAGCACTGGTAAAGACCTACTATTTACCTACTAATCAACGTTTCCCCGAGCATGTTGCCTTCCTAGAAAGAATGTATCCTGCTCAGCTCACACACTGCTGTGTCACACACCTGTTTCCAGGACTCCATGTCACTCATTTTCAGTCCCATATTAAGAGTTTTTCTCAGGTTCATGATTCTGTGCCCAGACACAATTAGTAGACCTGACATGTGAACCACTAATCTTTGTCAGAGATAAAGAACCATGCAATGGGGGAGGAACAAAATGCTAAATTATATTCTGAGGAGGTTCCATCACTAGGATCCCACACTGGCCATGGATTCCTGCCAGGAAACACAGTCCCTACTCACAGCTTTGAACTGTGGCTCCTCCTCTGTGCTATCACCTTGATGTCCTAGCTGCTGCCTGTCCTTCTCTTTTTAGCACATAATGGTGACAGTATGGTCAGAGAAAATATTTGAGATGCTTGAGCATGTGCAATAAAACTGTTGGACTCTTTCATCATTTTTACCAAGACAATATGAAAATTAGGAAATTTTCATGTTAACAGTGTAAGCATGAGCCAAAGAATGTTGCACATGTGGCTTACAATTGAATAGTAGCATATCTAAAAGGGACCGTCAGTTAACATTTTCAGAATAATTTTGTACTTATCCTCTTCACTTTTCCTCTCTAATAATAGCACAGGCCATTTTTAACTCTAAGCAATCTGTTTGCCTGCTAGTTGCCAAGTAAGTTCATGAAATACAAATGTTGCACCTTTTTAGCTTCAGCTGAATGTGTCTCCTGCAAACAAAGGCAGTGAAACACACACCATAATCGAAGTTATTACTCAGTTCAGTATGAAAACTCTAGAGAGAATAAATTGTCAACATCAAGTACTAACTACACTAAGTCCTTTTATTAAGGATAGACTTCAGTGTGCTAGGAAAAATAAAATAGTGAAAAACTGCTTCCCAATTCATTGTCTAACAAGTTATTTTAGAATGCAATTTAAAAAGTAGTTATTGTGATTAAAACACTGAATACATTAAACAATAACATTTAAAAATGCTGTTGACAGTTAAAATAAGGATATAATTTTAAAATGCAACTTTATTTAAAGTTAGTTGCAATTTATATTTACATTTATATTTACCAATTAGCATATCTAGTCTCTATTTTTAATACCAAATAAACAGCAAAAAAAAATCTCCTCCCACAGAGAAAACATTTTTCTGTATTACAGATAAATTACAAGTTATACTGAAGAATTTAATACGCCAATTCTTCATAAGTACTTTACAATCCACATACTTAATGCATGGAGCGACTGCGACATGAAGCACAAAATATTTAAATCTTTGCCAAAACAAGATTGTGAAATAATTCCTCTTATTCTCAGCTGTTTCTTTCCAAATTTTCTAAGAAGGCCGTGGATGCCAGCATATGAAATCTCATAGCTTGACTAAAATGATTTTTTAAGGTGGCCAGTATTTGTAGGGAAAAGAATGCTGGGAAACGTGTGAACTGTGATTTCTGTCAGCTCTCCTATGTATTTTTGTCTAAAGTACTTCTCTATTTATTTATAAATATACCACCATTTGAGTGAAGTCTATTTTTTTTTTTCATTTTTAATCCTCAATTAAACCTTAGATTTTCTCATCTGTAATTAAAGGTCTACTCTAACCCAAGCATCTCAAAGCCAGAGTTAGGATTTTTTACAGAAAATTTTTTACTGAACTTCTTACAACCTACATGCAGAATCATTTTTCCTTGAATTATACTGTATGAATTTTTTGTTCACATGGTGTTTTGTACATACATGTCATTGAGATTCAAGAACAAAAAGAATGTCAAATTTTAGATCATCACAAGAGAAGCCATAACAGAGTTTTGCATAACTTTTCATAGTTTTCCTAAAACACAAAATAAAGAAATTCACACTTATTGGGAGTGAATTTTAGTTCATCTATTAACACGAAATTCTTCATGAACCTATAGACTTATATTTGTTTCCAGATAAAAGGACTGTGTATGTGTATTCTTAGAATTCTCTTTGAACTCTGGATTACAAATTTAAATTTGACCAAATTTTATTTATAAACCAATCTCTAGTGAGGTCCCTTTCTGAACTAAAATAAAGTATATGACCTATATACTTACTCAAGTGCATCATATTCTGCTAAAGAACAATTTCAGCAATTAAGTTGTTGAACTAAACTCAGTATAATTCAAATATCTTTATCAGGATCAGTTTAGCCTGTCAATTTATTTTCACTGATTACTGGTAGTACAGCACTGCACATTTTTGCTTACTTATTTACCTTATTTGATGGAAATAGAAGTCATGTGGAAAAGAGGAAATGCAGTAAGATCAGCCAAAACATGCACTCATCTGAACCACCAAATCCTCACCGCATAATAAAACAATAGAAAGGAAATATTTCACATGAAGACACAGAGAAAGAGGTCTTGGTGGCTTTGGAGAACTGTTCTCCACTTCATAGTTGTGTTTAATTGCAGATAATAGAGAAAAATAGGTTCTAATAGCTAACACTCTCTTGGGCCCAATGGAGGATTTTATTTAACACTGAAATGCACAGTAAGAGCAAAAACACGCTGTAAATGAGCAGAAAGTTGAGAAAATTAAAAAATATCAAAAATATTCTTAATCCTGCTGTTTGCTTATAGTATTAAAGTTATCCAGCTGATTTATCTCTAGGTATTCTGATAGATGTCTAATCAGAAATTTGAGTAGGCATAGAATAATAACTACTTACAGGATAAGTGCTGCCCTTTCAAAGTACTCAATGGCTTTTTCACAGAACTGGGTGTCAATGTAATATGCTCCAAGCCACTCAATGACCTCAATGTTGGAAGGGAAATACCGGTATGACTGACAAAATAGGAAAGGTGAAAAACCACACAACTTTAGTGATAAACAACATCTTTATGTTGCTTCTGGAATATCTTACTCAAGTATTTAATTCTCCAGATGCCCAAAACATGTAATATAAATGAATGGAAGTAGTGTGCTACACTAAGTGATCCTGGTGGGGGGGCAGAAAAAAAGCATGCTAAGTTTTCTAATTGCAGAATGCTTTTTAGAAGTTATCCCAGATGAGCCTGTCACATTTTCCATCTAGCCTTATTTGAAATAGTATTTTAAATAGCTTGTAACAGCAAAAACATTTACTGAAATCACATCTATGTATGAATAACTTACCTAAAACATTAAACAATGCTAACTAATAAGTGTGCAATTCCACATTCACATCAGTCTGCTGGAAAACTCACCCCAAAGCATTCCTTTCTGTACATAACTACATGAATAGCATTTTCAGCTTTTTAAAAATTCCCTTTGAAATAGGCAACAAAATTATCATCAAGAACAACTCAGCTGGTAATTCAGATTGCAACACAGATTTGGTCATCCTCACTTTGCACAGATAAAGAAAGAGAACTCTCAGATTGCACCAGACACTTCTGTCTTATTCTCATTTCTAACACAGAAGAACCTCTAGAAACTGTAGACAGTAGTACAGCTGGTTTGAAATGAAAGAAGCTGCCTATCTTTAGGCAACTGTGTATACATAATGTATAGCTATACTGTTAAAATATATATAAAAACTTCCAGGCATAAACAAAACACAATCTATATGTATCTCCATATTATACAGACACAGCTTCCAATCAACTCAGCCACATTACACACCTCTAAAATTACTTCTATTATATCCCAATTTTATTTTGTCCCAATGTAAACAATGACTACATAAAAGAAAATGGAAAGTCTGAGGCCAATATCCACATGAAAACAACCTATGTTTCCTTAGGATCTGACTACAAAAATCAGATTTTATTAACTCTCCCCCAGTATCTCTTTTTTATCCTCTTTTTGGATGACATTTCATAATGTTTAAATTAATCAATTATTAATTTGATATAGGAACCTACGGGAAAATTTTCTTTACTTAGGACAAAGTACATTGAAAAAGCAAAATTACCTCACAATAATAATGAAAAGCCTGGGATTTATCACCTTCAGTATCATATAAATTCCCTAGCTTTGAAAGTACATGTGGATCAGTTGGTACTACACTAATCAACTGCAGCAGCCACTCTATGGCTTGATTGGGATCTTCCATGATCTGGTATCTGAGTTTTCCTCAGTTAAGGACTGATGCCAATGGTAGTTTGATTTAGAAATCCCTAATACTTTACCTAATGCAATCCATATGCTGAACACTACACCAGTCACTGTAGTGGGAAGATACAATGACTCTTTTTTTCCACACTGTTTTCATAATTTAATTTGTATCAGAAATATTTTTCTTATGCTAGAAAAAGAAAAGTATTAAGAGATTTTGTCTGCTCTTTCACCTTAGAACCATGTTGGACTCAACAGAACTCTGGGCTCACTTGTCCTCTCTCTCTCTCTGACACTAATCTGACTTTGACTTCCTCATTTATATGAACAAAGTGTGAGAGCCAGGCCATTTATTTGCAGCCTTTACAACCTGGCTAGTTTCTGTACTAGCAGCATTTTGTTCTAAAGTGATTAGGTAAAACTGCTATTCCAAGAACAGCCTTTTGCCAGCAGGGGTGTTTTCTGCTGTATGTCTAAGGAGCACAGTCCAGACTATTCTGGTCCAGAGAACAGCAATTTTAGCTGTAACTCAGCCTGCAGTGTGCTCTTCCCTCCTGAATGGCACAATGGCTCAGAGCTCTGGCAGTGCCAGCTGGAGCTACTGCCCAACCTGTTTTTTCAGTTTCTACTCCATCCTACCCGACACTGAAGAAGCTTCTGAGAATTGGTGGAAAGCAGTTTTACATAGCAGTGGAGCAGAGAAGCTCTCTCTGTATCCCCAGATGGATACAGAGCTGTTGGGCCATTTGTGCTGCTATAAAGGGGCTTTACATGGAAAAGAGATCGGAGCCCTTTCATATGTTTGGAGGTTACTTATTTTACTGACTAGAATATATTTTGATTACCTACACTATTCTTAAAAGTGTAGTACATCAGCTGCAATCTGTTCTGCCTTGGGGAGGATTTTTTTACAGTTTGGACATCCTCAGAAGCATTGTTAAAGAAGCTCATAGTTTAGGGTATCACTGGTGATGTGCAAAGCCAATCTCTTCCCTCAGCTTTTCAATCTGTTGAGCTTCTGCAGTGCTGAGAGACAATTATTTTCTTACACATACACTAACTAATCTGAAAACAGCTTTCAGAACAGAACTTCACATTTATTAGCTATATATTTTTTTTTCTTAAATATTTTACTTAATTGTGCTTACATCTGCCACAGTATTTTCATAGCAAAACCAGCAGCATTTTAAATATTCCATGACACAATTTAATACTGAGTGTAAATCTAATCCCTGCACTGTGAGCAGTCTTAATGTTGTTCACCTGCTTCACTGGAAATATTCAATAAGGGTTAAGTTCTGCTCTCATTTTTCTTACAAACATCAGATAATAAATCATTCTTACTATAATGGACAGCATAGTAAATTTCTAAATCACCTTGACATGACTGAAACACGTATTTTGGATTAAACGAGTTTACTAAAACCACCATTCCTTATAATAAGCCAGAAAAAGATACATGCTTGCTAGCTGGTAAAGGACTTGGGCACTATTTGGAAGGATTGCATGGAGTTTCAGAAAACAATCCAAAGCTTCATCTATCCTGTTTAACTTCTTGTAAGCTAAACCTAAAAAATAAAGGTTACAGTATTAATATAATGAGACACAGATTACTTCAGTATATTAACTGAAAGGATAACCACAAAAAGCAAAAGAGGAACTCAGTACTCGGAGGCAGTGTACCTGCCTTGACTTTAAAGGACTCTCTATTTGTGAGAGCCATGCACAGAACTGTTATCAGCCAGCATGACCTACCAAACTGGTAAACACAAGGAACATGAACCCAATCAAAGACCAAGAACTTATGTAATGTCATTTTTTGAACAAGATTAATGAGGGAAAAGCAAGGCTTTTAGAGGAGAATGACTGATGGCTTAATAATGCTGAAACTAGTATCCCTTTAATAGGTATATGAATTTCTTAATCTTCAAAGTAACTTATTCATCTGCAATTACTAATTATGTTAACACTGGGATTTTTTTTTTTTGCAGAACAGATAGGTAGTACAATTTAATACCTTGCCATAACATAAATCACTCAATAAAGTAATAAAAATTCACACATATTTCTATAAGAAAACTTTCAAAGACGGATTCTCAGAAACACTAGTGTTACCTTCAGTCAAAAGCTAAATCACAATAGCACCTGTGACTTACCAAGATTATAAAGTGCTTCAGTGCATAAGGAATCATTCCTGAGAGCTTCCTTATAAAATTCAGCTGCTTTTTCACAGTCTCCATTTGCAAAAACAGTATTTCCTTTGTTAGTTAGAGCTGCTGGATTGTACCTATCAGAATTTACTGCTAAATCTGCATAGTTAGTTGCTTGTTCCAATTCATTCCCCTACATGAACAAAACAAACATTGTATTAGTAATTTGTCAAGTAACTTTCTTGCAGCTGTGGCTTCTTCCAGGAATTTCAGGGGATTGAGGATGAAAACCAACCCCATTACTCCGTCCTAAAATACTTCTTATATATTTGCATAAGGTAGATCATCTCTTTCAAGTTGCCACTCTGTCCCATGCAGTCTGCAAGCTTTCTCTGTTGCAATAAAGTAGCATTTACTAAAAAAAAATTTTTAAAAAATCCATACCCTACAAACTTCATACACAAACACATCTGCCTAAGCTACCTATTTCACATGTTTCTGAAGTTCAGCTGGGGTTCCCAGTTTAATGTTTTAAATCCAGCCACTGAGCTTCTGCACAAATCCAACTGCAAGCATGTTCCTGTGGCCTGGGGCTCAATCTCACTCTGCTTCCTATCAACAGTATACAAAGGGATCTGATCCAAATTCCAACTGGTGTTCCAGAATAACTACTCTAAGGTGCAGTTTCTTCTTGTTTACAGAGATTATTTAGGCAGACACAGAAATTGCTACAAAAACACAGAGGTTGCTACATAAACCACAGTTCTTAACTGGCTTTGTTGAGGCAAACACTTACCAAATAATAAAGGAATGAAAGGTTTGTTGCAGCTGCACTCTTTACTCTGCTATCCTTTTTTTCAAATATTTTCAAAGTCTCCAGGGCCTAGAAATAATTTGGAAACAACTTACTTCACACTGAACTTATTCCAAAATCCTTTCAGAAAGCATTGACAAACAGTAACAAACAGCTGAAATTATCAACTCATACGCTCACATACATGATAATTACTAGAGCTTGTAACACACACTTCTGAGCATGTACACACAAAATTGTATCTATATTTATACAATATTAATTTTCATCACAATATTTCAATAATATTGGCTATTTATTACCTATCCAAAATTTAGATTAGATAAGGCTACTGTGAACTACAGGTATCTGACAATTCTATATGTACAAAATGCAGTGTTAGATGATTTGCTTTTAATCTAGTCAACTAATGAAAATTCTCATGCCTATTTTTCTAGTTCTTTAAGTGAAAACCAAAGAATTGACATAAAACCTTTATCAAAAATCCAAAAAAGAACACACTATATAAAAAAATATACACGATAGGGTAGGACTGGATTTCAATGTGCCTTTGTTTTGTGTAATAAGAAGATGACAACTGTCTAAATTTAGGAAGTACTCAAATGTGAAACTTGAGGCTAGAAGATTTTTTTTAAAACTTGAATATGAAAACTAAATTTCATAAACTCCAAAATAAACATGTTTATAGACCAAAAAAAAGGAGCATATTTATAGCAAATAAACTACAAAAATCCCTCTGATATAAAAGGCAGCTTTTTCTTCTCATTGACTATGGAATACATTTGTAACTGCAGACTAAATTATTAAATAAACCTGTCTCCCTTACGCTAAATATTTATATTAACAACACAAACTGTTAGAATATCACAGTGAGCCCAGTTCCATCATCTATTACAACACAGATGTGGCAACCACAATTTAACCATCAACATTAGCAAGTCAAAAGTTTCTTTCCTCCTTTGCATGAAATCTTTAAGCTGCTGTTTACATATCAAAGCAAAGGCATGATACTGTATGTCAAATGCCAAAACAAACATAAAGAGAAGTTTTAATTGTCTGTCATACATAGTTTTCACAGTTACTCTACACAAAAACTGTAACTGCACTAATGATGTGCAAAATGACAAAATATATACAGCTGAATGTAGTTCATAGATTCAGTCAACTACATCCTACCCAAGAACTATGAACTATTAATGATCTCAATATTCTTCTAATAGAAAATTCTTCAAAAACACACCAATTTCAATCAAGAAGAGCATTACAAAAGTTAGGCTCTAGATTTTGTGGTCTCAGAAATGTAAGACTTGTAACTATACTTTTAAACTTTTTATATATATATATATTTATGATTTTCTCTAAGAAGGGAATAATCCCAAATATTTCCAGATGTAACACTACTATATCTGAGGTACTCTACTCTTAAGCAAAGATTTGCTTCTTCATGGAATTAACTTTTGGATAATTTAGAGCTTTACAGTTCAAAGTTACTTTTTGAAAATCCATTTCTCATTGTATCTGATTACCTTTGCTTGTACTGCTAAATGGCACCTTGGATGATAAAGACCTGACAGAAATGCCCTTTTCATGTATAACAAAAAGTTCACACAATCCTGAACTCAATTTATTTACTGGTAAATTATTTTGTGGGTCTCTTGAACCATTTCAGCAATTATGAGTCCTAGGATGAGCCCCCAGTTATGAGGATGAAAATCCATAGGCAATATTCCTTATGTCCTTGTAAGGTAGCACTGCATCATCAGTTACATTTAAAGATTTCTAAAGAAATTCTAACTTTTAAATCCCAACAATAACAATTACTTAGGTTCAACAATCAAAACACAGACTATCCAAACTATTCTTTTGAGTTGCTTCCAGCATATCTAAATTATTTGGTTATAGAAGTTAAACTTCAAAGCAGTTTGTCTGACTCCAGCAGGGTGTGCCAGAGATGTTAAAATGATGCATAGTTAACGTGCAGAATTTTGTTTTTAAATTAATTTTCAAAGTTTTTCTTTGATATTAAAAAAAATGAAGTATTTTATACACACAACTAAACATAATGTGGTAATTTTCCTTTGAATTTTATTTTATCTTTTAATTGCAAGGACTGCTTTAAAATAATATATTCATTATGATGAACCCATACAGCCCATTGTTGTAGCAGGAGAAATCTAAGAAATCTATTCCAGTTTGTTTTGTTTTCTTTTTTTTTTAAAGATGCAATAAAACTTCAGCCTTGGAACTGAGTATTTCAAAAAGTTTCCATTCTTGTTATTCAGCCAAAGGTGTGTTGAGCAGTTGGTGAGTTAGGAGATATATGAAAAACAGACAGGCAGGATGAATGTAAATGTCAGCTGCAGTTTTATTAGAACAAAACAAATATAAAGATGCTCTGCAATCTCCATTTTGAAGCCCCACTCTACTGTTTAGTGGTTCCAGTGCAGATTAAAGGTCTTCTGTCACATAATCCAAGTAAAAAGGTTCTTCTCCCCTTACTCCTAACTTCCAACAGATTTCCCTCTCCCTCCATTGAAGTACTCCACAAAACACCAACAATCTCTGTATCTCATTTTATCCCTGAGAACTGATTTTAGTTTTTTTAACCTATACTGAACACTAACTGGAAATCACAAAAAATTACCATTGAAACAATAAATTCTCGAGATCATCAGACTTTTTACCCACCTGTAACATTCTCACCCTTCAAAAGGTATCATCAGTAAAGCTACCAGATTTTACCAAATCTTTGCAAACTCTCAAACTGCTTCCTGATCTCAGAAAAGGTTTCAATGTGCTGGTTTTGGCTGGGATAGTTAATTCTTTTCATAAAAACTTGTATGGGACTCTGTTTTGGGTTTATGCTGGAAACTGTTGATAACACAGGTTTAGCTAAGCAGGGTTCATACAAAGCCAAGGCCTCTTTTGCCCCTCACCCCACTCCACCAGTGAGTGGACTGGGGGTGCACAAGGAATTGGGACAGGACACAGCCATGACAGTTGGCCCCAGCTGATCAAAGGGAGGTCCCAGACCTCCCAGGTGGAGGTGTCATATAAAGGTGGGGGAAGAAGGAGGAAGAGGGGATGTTTGGTGCAATGCTGCTTGTCTCCCCAGGTCACCATTATGCATGGTGGAGCACTGCTCTCCTGGGGATGGCTGAATACATCTGCCTGCCCATGGGAAGTGCTGAATCAATTCCTTGTTTTTGCTTGTGTGCACAGCTTTTGCTTTACCTATCACACTGTCTTTATCTTAGCTCATGAGTTTTCTCCCCTTGACTCTTCTGATTCTATCCCCCATCCCAGCAGGGCAAGGCAGGGCAGGGTATGAGTGAGTGAGTGAGTGAGTGAGTGAGTGAGTGAGTGAGTGAGTGAGTGAGGTTTAGTTGCCAGCTGGGGTTAAACCACAATAGTCAGACATGCAGGATAATACAGGATAACTCTCTTGCTGTATCAACAGGGAAGGAGAAGAGGACAAGGCAGACAGGGAGAGCAAGAGCTGCTCAGGAAACCAGAAAAGCTTAAATATGAGAAGTAAAAGCAGGCTAAAGTTAAGCATGTGGCCCTGTGTGCATCCCTCCAAGATGTGGGAATATGAATGACCTTAGAAGATAACAGGTATCTACAGCTTCAGCTCTAATTTTGCTGTATATGATGTACTGTAATTCTTGCCACTCATGCACAGCTGGGGATTGCTCTTTTCCTTCTTATTTATGAAGCATCCCCATCACTGAATGTACCAGCCAGTGCATTTTAAAAGAAAACATGTCAAATCCTGTCACATATCCAAGTTTGTTTTTGGTCAGATGAAGCTTTTTTTTCTAACTACTCAAATTCCAAACCAAGCCTTGTACGTAATGGAATGACAGAAGAGCCAATTAAAGTATAAGGACAATTTATAGTATATTAGAGAATGCTGTAGCACATGGGGAGCTGCAAGAATACCAGAGCATAAACAGTAACTATACAAAGCAGGTGCAGCTGCATGTATTCTGGTACTATAGCCAACCTAATTGAGAGAGATTAGCTCATATTAATGAAAACACCCCCAGGCTGATTAGCAAAGACTTTCTAGTCTCTATTGACTGTACTGACCTGAGTTCCATTAACTGCAATGACAGCTGGGACACCCAGTGAAGAAAACTACACTTGGGTGTTTTGATTTTGAAATGCATTTTATTCACTCTAACTTCCATGGCAGAAATTTCATTTAGATAAAATTTGTCTCTTGCCAGTGTTTTTATGAAGTTATTTTACTGATCAGCATCAAAATAATAATTATTTGCATAAATCACACTTTCTCTTGCCAAAAAATATGCTGTGGCTAACAAAGGTATATACAGTATTGAAAAGTACTAAAGGGCAAATACAGTATTGAAAAGTACTAATGTGAGAAGTTACTATACCTGGTTAAAATTCTGTTGCCTCAAGTAAGTAGTGGCTTTATTTATTTCCAGGTCATTGGCTAATTCCACATAGTGGGAAGCTTTCACTGCATCAACACACCTGCAACAGAAAGCAAGCCATGAAGATAAACAAAATGCATCTATACAAATACCTCCAAGTTACATTTTTTTCAGCTAATTTGCTTTCCAAACTGAATTTTCTTAGGTAATCTTTCTTCACAGTGGCAAAGAGCACTCTGATTAAAAATACCTGTAAGAATATTTCAGTCCTATAACCTACCCTAATTACAGTATCTCTGCTAACTCTTGTTTCTTTTGAGTCAGCTGCCTAAATATCACTTTATTTTCTATCACTGAGCAATACTTGATGTCAAAAACTGACAAAAATTATTTTTCAAGCCATTTTCTTTGGCTACATTCCATAATGTAGTTATAATGTGTTTTTTTCAAATTTCATCTCCTGATGCATATATTACCTAACCTATAAAAAATACTAGTGAACAAAGCCAGAGACTACAGACTGTGTCCCTGAGCTACATCATAACACTAATCAAGTCATAATAATAACTCTCTTTCTGGCCATTCCCCAGTAAGTTGTGGCTTAGGGTTTTCTGCAAAAAGAGTGCAGAACAGAAGGCAGCAGACAGTTTGGATGCTCACTCACAGCCACCACCTTCCATGGTTTGGTGTGATCTGCTTTCAGCTGCCTGATCATTTAAGTAAGACCTTTATTTACTGCATGCAGATCCTGTTCTCTCAAACATTTGGAAAATAGGCACAGTAAATGAACAACTTCTGGGATGCTTCCTTAACACCTTCCACTATTTTATTAACTGGTGGAAAGCCACCTTCTTTTCTTTTAGTAATTGGCTATTTTGCCAACAGAAGTTTAATACAACAAACTGCCTGGTGTTATAATTGGTTTGGCACATGGACAGTCTTTAGACAAATGCCTTTTATATTAGAGAAAAAGTTGTAATAAAAATTGGTAATTTCTTCTTTTATTACAGATGTTTTTGCAACATCAAAAAAGCATTTTCACCAGTCAGTTGTAACATCTTTTAACCATAAAATGCAATGAGATCTAACCATCCAACTGTTCTTTATGAAATTTGACAGAATAGTCCCAATAATGTCACATTTTAAGTAAGAAGTTATGAACTCTGAAGAGTATTTGTCCCTACTTTACTTCTCTAAATAAAATGAATTTAATTGAAAGTACATTTAATACTCAGAGGACCCATAATAAAGATAATAATCAGAAAAACTAAACTTAAGCTGCCAGTTAAACTTCTTCATTGGGCTTGAATACCTCAGCTTAAAATAACAAAGAGTAAATCTGTCCTGATACCCAAAAAACAATCCCACAGATCTCAGCAAAAGCTGTTCAATTAGCCAGAACACATTTGAGAATGTGTTACTCCATGACAAGTATTCTGTGGATAGCACTAAGAAAACTGAGTATCTGACAACCTTTTCCAGTTTTTCTGAACAAAAAACAAGATACAGAGCAAACAAATCTGACTTGCTCATGCTAACAAATTAGAAAACAACAACCTATTTTTTCACAAGATGTATTATTTAAATCCTGATAATTCAGAATGGCAGAAGTAGAGAAATCTTAAGATTATAAATATTATTATTAAAACATCAAACACCACCTTGTGGTCTCTAGCAGACAATACATGTCTGTGTGAGAGATTGTTTCCTGTTAGTGTAAACAGCTTTCCTAGTGAATTATAATTATAGGACCTGCAAAATTTCAGAATAATCCTAACAGGCCATAAACCTCAGGTCAAGGACAGTCCTCTTTTCCCATCAAACATTATTCACTGCCCAAACACTAACATATATGTTAGTAATATTGTGCCTGCAATACACAACATTAATTTGCATGCATACTATTATTCTCCAATGCTATTAAAATACAAAAAATATCAAAGGAAGCCCTTATAATAAAAAACTAAAAATAAATTTTGAAAAACTTATGCTAGCAATTTTTATACTGTCATCATTGGAAGTGTGCCTAATTTAATTTGTTTTAAAGAAAAGAGTATTCTGCTGTAGAAAATATCACAGAAAGCAAAAGCTAAGCTGTACATTGAAAAATAAAGTCCAAATGAGGAACTGTGTCAGCAGCCTATCACTGTGTACATTTACGTAAGTGTTTTAAGAAATGGTAGATTAAATTTATATTTAAAAACATTAAGTTCATAAATGAAATTCAAACAAATCTTTCTTAAAATTTAGATTCCAGTAGTTTATATAATGACTCTATGAGTGATCAAAATTCTTAAGCACTCCAAGTCTTCATTATGCCATCCCCAACCTTATAGACTAGGAATCACTGCCTTCCATATAGCATTTGTCTGCTGAGACTTTTAAAAGCTTGTCAATTTTGAATTTGAACTTTTTGTGTGAGTTCAGAACACCACAAAATGTGTAATTAAGAGATGGCATTTGATGATAAATTACTTTTAAAGACAGAACACACTCTAATGCTTTGTTGTGTTAGGAGGCAAACTGAAAATAGCCTGGTTGCTGTTTGAGATGCACAGAGAATTGTTTTTCCCAGGCTGCTTCCATCTCTGAATTGGTTCATAACCAGCACAAGAGTTGACACAGTTTAGACAAAAAGAAGCCCCACTTGACTCTTACCAGTCATAGCCTACTGCAAAAGATGTCTCGATTGCTGGTGCAATGAGTTTAGCAGCTGTCATGATGTATTCCTCTGCCAAGGACTTCCTAACAAAAACACAACACAAAATGTGAAATAAGTTCTTCACTGTCAGGGTGGTGAGGCACTGGAACAGGCTGCCCAGAGAAGCTGTGGATGTCCCATTCTTGGAAGTGTTCAAGGCCAGGTTGGATGGGGCTCTGAGCAACCTCATCTAGTGGGAAGTGTCCCTGCCCATGGCAGGGGGGCTGGAACCAAATCATCTCTGAAGTCCCTTCCAACCCAAATGACTCTATATGTGCATACAATTCTATATCATAATTTCAAAAACATGTATAGAAAAGAAAAAAACAAACCAAAATGTGTTCTGGCTTCTTCCTGCACTCAGTACAAATCTCAGAAGTCAATGCTACCAGTTCTCTGTTAGCACTGCTCCCCTGTATCATGATTAAGCTCTTAGTTTTTTCTGTTTTCCTTTCACTGCACACTAGATGTATTTTTTAAAAATCTCAAAAGCTGCAAGTTTTGAGTACTGTACCCTGTAACATGTGGGATAGATACTCTATGGCAGTACACTGAACTGAGTGATCCAACTGGCTCTTCTGAGCATGTTCTTTCCTAAGAATTGGGAGGACACTTTTGTAACAAGAGCTGTGGACAGGTGACAAGACTGATAATCCTTCCAGGAGCTAAAATTCAAGGCACCACAGTCAAGAAAGAACAGAGTCCACCATTACCTCTCACGTTCTATTTGACTTAAACTGTCATTTTTAATGGCTTCAATCAGTAGATTTGTATGTAGATCATCCTGGAGGGGGACAAAACAACTGTAGATTATATCAGTATACAAACATTTTATTTATTTTATAGACAATATGAGTGCAAACACAAATTGATGTAAAAGAAATAGTCTATAATATCACTTACTTTCCACATTTGCAAAAGCTAGCTTCAGTTAAAAGTAGTTTTCTAACCATGTACTCTGAAATTTGGCATTACAACTGCTTCAATACTGTTTTTCTGCTCATGTGTGCTGTCACGGTTCACATTAAGGTTGTTAACAGATGTAGTTCCTGTCATGTGTATCAGACCAGAAAGGCTGCAGATCACACTGACAATATTCTCATGCTTAAAAATAAGCATTTGCTGAACTGCTGTGGTATTCAGCAGATAAGGACTTGTGCTACCTCCTTGTTACAATAACTTGTATGATCATCTTTTGGCTTCTATCACACATCTCTGTTAGCTCTAAAAGAAGTTATGCAGGGTATGTTAGGTAGCCACCCCTTCCTTGTTTATTAGGGACAGATCATAGATTTATGCAAAATAAAGACCAGAAGGAAATTGTGATCTTTTCTCTGACCTCTTAATAAAAAAAATAGAGAACTTGTAATGTCTGTTAAAACCATAGCTTGCCTACCCTTAGAAATAACTTTTGCTGTCTCGAGGCTTTCTTCCAATGAATGATCTTACATAGTCCTCAATTAATTCAAAGGCTTAATGATCCTTACTCTTATATAATTTCTAATAGAAGAAATTATATAAAATGTATTAAAATATATACATATGTATCAATAAATATATCTGTATTCTTTGTATGTTAAATTTTATTTCCTTATGCTATGACAATAAGAAACAACAGCTACTCTTAGGCTGCAAACAGTTTGAAGATTAGTTATGTATTTGATATTTAGGACTGAAAGATTTGCATCACTGAAAAAAAGACTGCTAGAAGATAAAAGCTTTGATCTTTCTACAGTGGATTTTTCTAAGAGTGACCCTAAGCCTATTAAACTATTTTTTCCTCTCTTCAGCATCGTGGAAAGTCAAAGGAAGTTTCCAGCAAAGTCTAATAAACTAAAATAGTAATCTGTAAATGTCACTATAGTTTTCTTCTGTAAAATAACACTACAATATTACAAGTTTTATTAACACTCACTTGAGGAAACTTGCATAAATCCACTTATTATTTAGCTCTCTTTATTTACCTTATAAATATTTTATTAAAATTTTATAGAAATGAAGATGGTCAAGTGTAGTAAACCCCATAGACTTAGGTAAAGCTCCATGGAGAATTGAACAATAGGAATGCTGAGACAGCAACAGGAGCTCCTGTCTCTCTCTGTAACCCTATAGGTCACTATACCTAAACCCTTACTGTTGGTCAAATCTGGATCCCCCCAAACCCTGTAAAAGGGGCACCCTTTATCCCATTTGACAGAAGAAGAGCTGTCGCTGGCACCCTTGGCAGACTTCCCCAATAAAGCCATCTCTGTGGAAGCAGCCAGCGCCTCTCCTTCTCTCTCTCTCGCCGTCTGCTGCAGCTTCAGCCAAGGGCAATCCACCTAGCAAGCAAGAGCTGAAATCCTAAGAGAGCTGATACCACTATAGAGCTGATCACTACCAAGCTTGCTAAGGTGGCTGGCCCACGGCCATCGGCCTCGAGCTAGCTTGGTTCCGGGCACCCTGTCCCCCTGAGGGCTGGGCTCCTGAGCTATCTTGAGAATAAGGCCAGATAAGAGGCTTTATTAGTAAAGCACAAGTGAGCTATGTAAGTAAGCCCAAATGAATTTCAACAAAATCATTACGAAGACAATCTTGTGGTGTGGGTTTTATGTACATCATCTCTTTTGAGGAAATAGAGATTTAAATGTTCTCTCATTATTTTACACATCTGAGCAGTACTGCCACACTAATATGCATGCTGGTAAAAAAGTTATTTCAGATACTAATCAATTTCCATATTCAGTACAGTCCAAGCAATCAGTATCTCTCCTTCTTTCTCCAGATTTACTATATAAAGACACAGTTTAAGTTTTCAAACTTACATTTAATGAAATGTATTTGTCTTCATAATCCACTTCCAAGGGAACTTCGATGAGGTTTTTGAAGGCTTTCTTCATTTGCTCACCATTTCCAATAGCAAAGTAACACAGGATCAGGTTGAAGCCTGCCTTCAGGTTTGGGGATATGCTCATTATTTCTTCAAATGAAGAAATGGCATCAACGTATTGGCCAGTTTTAATAAATGCAACTCCAATATTTTCCATTATTTTTATCCTAAGTAAGAAATCATGTTTAGGTTATATTTTTAACTACTAAATCATACGGTATTGAAAACTTGTATTTCATAAGCATGCCTCCTAGAAGAAACTCACCTCATCTGTTTGTGGGAACTAGTAATCTGGTCTAGAGCCATACGGTAGAATTTGATAGCTTTGGAATAGTTCCGTTGTTTTAAATAAATATTTCCCATATTTACCTTCAGTATACCTATCAAAAGGAGTCAATGAGTTACAACATTTTAAAAGTGTTTCAAAGTGACAGAGTAGAACATCACCTTAATAAATTTGTCTTCATTATAGGATAGCAATGTCCTTTTAAAGCTGCACTGCACAGAACTGTCTTCTGTGAATTTAACTTAAGAGAAGATGAGAGAGAAGATGAAGTAGTGATGAAACCTAGAACAGAACTATCATGTAAGATGTAGTCTGATTTTGAATAGAGGGATGAAGTAGTGATTATTTATAGTGCTCTCCAGGAAGAAACTGCAAATAAGCATCTCTGAAAAAAAAAAAAAAAAGAAACCCACTGTAGGAGTCTCAAAGATATGCAAAATACTAAAAGGCCAAGTCAAAAGAGAAAAAAATAGTAAAAGAGAAGACCACATAGCATGTGTGACATGAGAAAATTATGTATTTGTTTTTATGTTTAGCTTAGTCTGTGGAAAGAAAAGACTTCATGAGTCAGTATAATCTAATGTGGTTTGGCTCTCCAAGTCAAAGATTATGAATATCTGTCATCCACTCTGAGTGGCAGACATGAGAAGCGAGTTCTCTGAGTTTCAGCACCATGCAGATGCAGTCCTCACTGTGAATGCCTGACTACCAGTTTTAATTCACTTTGGGATACAACCTACCTCCATTGCTGAACATCTTATTCTTCACTATAACTTGGTAAGTAGTCAGTGCTTCAGCATACATTTCATTAGCAACATACTGACTGGCCAGATTGAGGAGAACCTATAAAAATTGGAATTACAGATTTCAAGTTAATTTTACCTTGGAACTATTGTCTTTACCATTTGTAAGCTTCCCATCTTTAATGTTCCTTTGTTCTTGCAAATCGATATAGAGGAAACAAGTTTAAAAGCTACTTATTCTAGACAATTCTTTTATTTTTGTACATAAATTACTAGCATTCAAAGTTATGCTACATGGGCCTAAGTAAACACAGTGCTATAATGCAAGGTTATTAAAAGATATTTATACAAGATAATTCTCAGAAACTGTGCAATTTATGACTCCCAACATGTGGAAAATGGTATTATTGCCTGTGGTCACTCAGTTTAGAAGGGGAGAATTTTTCCAAACTGCTGTTTCACAACAGAAGTTCTGTTGGTGTCAGATAAAATAGCTCTGCATTTTTTCCACAGTTTTACTCTGACCTTCATGGTAAAATATATTACCAGGTCTGCCTAATTCAATATATTAATTGTTAATAATTGTCTCTACAGCACTACTTGGAGTATGAATTTAAATATCTCTCAAGCATTTTTATGCATATTGTATGCTTTTAAAAAAAAAAAGTTTACTATTTGAAAACCATAGTGTAAATCTGGATACCTACCTTTAGATTCAGAAATATTACTATATCCTATTTAATGTAACACATTCTCGGTCACTTAATAGTTCAATTTAAAGGCAGCATCTTATCTTTCTTGTTTTGTTTTCTCCTCTTGGCATATTACAGTTTCTAGGCTATTTATTTCTGAAATACAGGGTCTGCATCTGCTGTATTTTGATATGCAGGTTTTACATGTGAATAAATAAATGAAATACATATTCATGGAAATTCTGTTCCACTTAACGTAGACTATGTGGTTTCTCTGGCATTTGAGATTGCATGGAAATGGACTCGATGACATGAATGGATCCCCTCTGTACACTGCCAGGAGCATTACAACACAGACACACACACTTCAGGAAACACTGACATTTCTCCTCAGGTGGTTTTTTAGCAACATTCCAGTCACTGAAGATTTCTAAGCACTTACTGTGTAAGTGAGGTCTAAGTTGATACTTTCTGGAGGAGCGATTTGTTCACGTTGTCTCAACAATTCTCTTTCCTGTCTTCCAGCCTCTTTTGCTTTCTCCAGAGCCTTAAACAAAATACTAGAATTTAACAGTGCCTTGAATCTTACAGACTCATGGTGATGAAAATACATTCAAAACAAGTATGAAGAGAATACACTCATGTCTATTTTCTTTGGCTAACAGACTGCACCAACTGCCTGAAAAAAGCACTATAACTCACTGAGAGGTTTTAATTAGCACTAAGCACACATACAGTTATCTAAGTCTGCTTAGCTGTGTAATTATGTACCCAATTATGATTCTCTGCAGACTGGTGTCAATATCCTTTGTACAAGTAACACCTTTGGGTGTAGCAAGTGCCATTAGCAGTCCCGTGCCCCTCCACAAGGATACAATGATTAAGAAAGTAACAGTTACTACTCAAGGTGGCTATTTGGAGGCAGTGGTGGAAGAAGCACTTCAAGATATAGCTTGATTCCTAGTCCTTATGATAGGAGGCAAGTCCAACTTGGCTATTTTTCAGATAATGAGTTCACAGCTTTGATGACTTTTGCAGGAAAATGGATATTCTGCTGGACTTGGCAGAAACAAACATCCTATGGGACATCCAACATCCTTGGAGTTGTCTGATACAATTTACATAAGAAACAATCCCTTTGACATCAAGAGCATACATTCTTGAGCATATATGCAAGAGGCTCCGGAAAAACTAACAAAATAGATTGGTTAATTAGCCACTACTCAGTGGCACAACAATGCTCTAACATCCTCTATAACAGAACAAATACATTCAAACTCTCCATTGGAAATAGTTCCTTATCCATGGTAACCTTTGATCATACATAGGAACCATCAAATGCTAGATAGCCTTAGCCAGAACTGTGCCAGTACAACTAATCCATCAGACCCATCTGAAGAGGTCAATGGACACAGGCAGAAGGGAATTTTTGTAACACTCAAATCTTAACAAATATATATGCCAGAAATACAGCTCCTACTTTTTTTTTTCCAGCAAAGCAAGGTATCACTAGACTAGAAGAGCATAATAAATTTAGAACTAAAATTATTTTAATAATTTTAAACATTTGACTGCAAGTCATTTCAAAACATCTATCTATACAAATTACAGCAGAAATTAAGTGAAAGTCAGGAAAAACTACCAATTTCAAGTCTCCACAGCTATTGGCAACACAGCTTTCTTCAACCAGTTCATTCACTTTTTTTTCCAACTGTCTCATCTTCTCTTCTAAACTAAAATAAAAATAACAATAAAAGGATTAACACTAAAGTAATGCAACTGCAAACACTAAGCTTTTACACATTATATTCTCAATAAAACAACACAATGACATATCACATGTCACAACTAACTGGTTTTCTCATCAAAGAAAGTATTGTTTGAAACTATGCCCAGAGAAGATAGCCCAAAGATATCACATTCACACCTTAATTTGAGAACAGAGACCTAAGAAAACATAAATCCTCTTACAAGAACAGTACAGACAGGCAAATTTCACAAATCAAATTTGTTCAGAAGTAACTAGAAAACAACAGATGAGCTTTTATATCAAACACTAATGAAATGAAATATCATATTAAAAGCAATTAATTGAACCTTTATTTGCATACATAATTCTAAAGCACTGCTTGTTATCTGCAAATGCAGATTCTGACAAAAAGTTGTGGTTCTTCTAGACTTTTTCCACTGCTAAATAACCAAACATTTCAGTAGGATTCCCTATTCCTGTTTAGCTATTTGGGGAACAGAACTTTGGTATTGGAAAACTCAAGGATTTTCTGAGCAAACTCCCCAAACTGGCACCAGCCTGCAAGTTTCAGCTCATTTGTGTGGCAACAGCTACACCCAAATTTCTAAGCGAGTCAGAACTAGAAATCACTGAAATCAGATGCTCCTAAAAGTCAGCCAAACACATGCGCAAATGTTTGTGGCATTATTCCACCAAGTTCAGAGTTTGGCCCCTCAAGGTTTTTGTAACTGCCTGGATGTTTTTAAACTCTATGCATGGCTGGTTTTTTGTGGCTGTTAATGCTTTGAAAGAATGTAATGCAGAACTGAACAAACCTGTCTGAAGTTTTCTTTTCCAGAGGTGAAGCAGGACCTCTTGCTTGGCCAAGAGGATCAAATGAAGAACCTGAAAAATTAACAGAGTACTGAAAACTGTAAAATAACATCTCCCTGTGGCAGCTGGTGATTTCTACAAACCATACCTCTCACAGCTGCTTTAGTGTAACCTGCAGCTTGCACTGCTGTCATTGGTCGAGAAATCCCATCCTCAAATAAAGAAGATATATTAAAATATTCTCACTAAAAAATATGTTGTAGACAATACAGACATCATTTTTATATATTCATATATATTATTTTAATGACAAATTGTTCATTGCATGTCAGTAAGCGTTAGAAACTACTACACAGTTATTGCTTCCAAATCTGTGCTCAAATAAAACACACATCACTACCCTCATGCTTTCTGACAGTACTATGTTCAAAACAGGACAAATTAAAAGTGTAATAATTTGTATTAATTCAATGAACTTCTAAATACTTGTATCTAACACTTATCAAAAAAATTCATTGTTCCAAATGAATATAAAATGCAAATATTGGAACTTTTACCTGTATAGTTCCTGTCATAGGTCTCCCCATAGATGAAGTTAAAGTTGCCTTTGACTACAAAAATAAGTAAGTTGTTTGAAATTGTCATTCACAAAGCACAAGAAGCCTACATACTGTCTTCTAAACACTAAATTTTAAAAGTTGAGCTAACTCTCACATAAGTTTATAGCAAAGTTCCCATTTATGTTACTCACATGCAATATACTGCCAGTTCCTGGCAGACTTAATGATGTTGAATACTTCAGTTAGCACAAATTCACAACAAAGGTTTTCTATGTATTTGGATACTGCTGTCAGCTCTTTTAAAAAGAAGTACACAGAAAATTATCTGAGGCAGCATACTTTCCATTATTAAATTATTGAAATTGCTAGCTTGAAATTGAACAAGTAATTTACACAAAATAATTCAGTAAAATTCTGTGTAGAGCTGATATAATCTGTCACTGTATTAATCTGTTAAATTATGTTTTCATGCAGATTTATTTTATCAATACATCTAAGTATACCAAAGAACACAACTAACTTTTTCTGATTCAACTAAAGATGTTTCAGAGCCTGTATTCTTCAAGACTTGATTTCACCTTAACTTCCAGAAAACTTTCCCGAGCTCAAATAACAACCTATTCAGTTTCCCCTGCAAGTGAACCCAATTAATACCCTGCACTCTAATGTCTTATGTAGCACAGAAGATTTGCAGCATGGTTCAGGAGAAAATAAAAACAACCAGTAACCTTGACCAAGTGCAAAATTGTGAATTATAACCAATAAACAGATGCAGTTCACTGGAATGAAATTCTTAACTTAGAAGGGCTCACTTTGTGCATGGAATTAAATGGTACATTTATATTTTGTAAACAACATTTTCATTAAGGATATAACAGAACAAAAACCTGCCCCAAATCCAGTAGCTAGAGGTCTTGGACTTGATGTAGCAGGAATTTTGGCTGTCACCTGGGTGGGAAAAAAAAAAGAACCAAACAAAAAAACCCCACCAATTAAAACCTGTATATGTCAATTATTAGTGTTTCTACATAGTAAGATCTACATTAATGCTCAGTGTTTTAAAAGGTACTTACAGGGGGTCTTCTTCCATGACTTGTTCTTGCTGCCTGTTGAAAAGCTACATCATTTTCTAAATCCTAGAAAAGATAAAAACATTAACCCTTTTAAAACCACAACACCCAACTCATAATTCCACAACCTTCAGACTACTGAAAGCAGATTGGTAAAAAATCAAAAATTCTTCACAAAATACTTGAAGATAACTGAACAATAGGGTTTACTGACAATAAATTACAGTTATATTATTTGTCTATCTTTCTTGGTATTTAGATTAGGAAATGTAAAAATTTGTTATTTTCTAAAAACACAGAGGAAAGAGAGCTAAAGTCATAAAATATAACATGAATTTCTTTTCCCATCCAAATGCTCTTATCAAATACTTAGACTCTTTCTGAATTTTGACATTAACAACTGCAAGGCAAGACATTAAAACATCTCATGTCCCTCAGGTTCTGCAGCAACTCCCATTAACTGGGTACTGGGATTTCACACAAGATGCCAAGTCTTGCTAGTGGGTTTGGACCAAATCACATCACTGGAGTGTCCCAACTCCACCAAACCAGCAGTTACCCAAAACTGGTCTGCAGGGCTACTTAAAGACATCCCAGATGCTCTACCCAGTTGCACAGAGACCTGCAGGATTCCATTTTTTACTGCAAGCCCCTCCAGCAGCAGCACAGTAGGAAACCAATGACCTACTGACTACCCAGGAGCCTCTTTTGTCAGAAAACTTGCTGCTGCACACAGCCTGGGAAACACCAGGCTGAATGTGCCTACAAAGAATTATGATTTTATACTTCAAAAATGCTAATCATTACAGCATCTTAGATCTGTTGAGATCTTCACAAGTGCTTAGTTGGAATAGAAAGCTACCAAAGAATTAACTATTCAAGAAGATCCTGAGAACCTGATGTTTCTTGCTAAATAAAGTAAATTTTACTTCAAAGAAGTTGTAAACTTGTACATTATTGTACCCATAAATTCTTATCTTATAATTCTAAGTTAAAATCCTATGTATGGGAAAAGTGGGAAACAGCAAATATTTTACCTCTGTGTCAAACATGGGATTATAATCATTGTAGCCAGAATAGAGATCATCTTCATTATTCTCAGGAGCTGGATGCACATTTTGCATCATTTTTCTGTGAAACATGTAACATGCCAAATGTTATCTTGGTGGTTTTATATAAATATTTTAAAATGCAAAATATAAACAGCAGTAGTTTGATTAGTCATAAAAACTAGGACTCACCTATAAACAATATGAAATGGCACCCTTTCATGGATTTATACTTTTGTTTATACTTATATCAGTTATGAAAATTGCTTTAAAGGTATTCATCATTAAAACTAAATTATAATAAGTAACTGAATTACTACTTCTAGAACAGTATCTTTCCATTGTCAGCTAACTCATGTTTGAGACAACTCATAAAGTTAGTCTTTATAGGCCAAACCATAGTAGCTAGTCTAATGAAAGGTATTTAATCTTGCTTTGAAGCTTCCCTTCCGCATTCTAAGATCAACATAGCTACAGTTATGAAGCCATTTCAATTAAAACGGGTTTTAAAAGCTAGCATTAAGGAAGCCCGGGTTCCTAAGTCTTTCTCCACCAATATTTTCCTGTCTAACACGGTGCCTTCACCTGCTGGCTTTTCACTCATGGAGGGCACACACTGAGGTATCTCACTTTGCCTGGCTACCTGTTCTCATAAAAACCTCAAGAAGGCAACGTTTGCTTTCATCGATAACATGAAGTACATGCCCTTCAGCAAGCAAGCCTCAGCCAGGTCGCAGCGCACGGTTCCTCGGCAGCGGCAGCGGGAGGAAGAAGAGGATGTTCCCGTCGCTTCCCCGCCGTGCGCGGTGCCCCGCGGCCGAGCCGCTCCCAGCGCGGGTTCCTCCAGCCAGCACCCGGCGATGATGAGCCCCGGAGCGGGGGCAGCTCAGGGCACGGGCGGGACTCGCCCTCCGCTCGCCCGCGGCCCGCTCGGCGCTCAGGGCCGGGCGGCGTTGCCCGGGACACGGCGGCGCACCCCGCATGCACCGCGGCCGGGCGGGGCGAGCCGCGGGCGGGGCCTGGCGCTGCCGGAGCCGCTGCCCCGGGCGGGCGGGCGGGCGGTGCTGCCGTGAGGGGCGGGCTGGGGGCTGGGCCGTGGCGCTCGGGGAAACGGAGAGCGGCCCCTCCTGCCAAGTAAACGGCAGGAAAAGTCCGTCAAACGCCTGAACACGTTTCCAATCCAGTCGCAATCCAAAACGTCAAATTTTCTTCCAATGAGCTGAGAAATGTGTTCTTAAAACGAAAAGGATCAATTAAAAAAAAATAAAATAAAAGAAGTTGTTGAAACTTCCTGTATGCCATAGCCTCTGAAACTAAATTTGAAAAATAAAAATCCCTAATGTCTTATAAAAAGATGATTCTCCCTGCCATCTTTACTACTTTCTCTTGGTATTTTGAATCCCTGACAAGTGTCAGTTGATTTGCCCACGGCAAATCATTATACTCTGGAGAAAGTTTCCAATGCCTAAATGGAAAGCAGAATAGAGAACCTGCCTACAGTATTTTTGAGAGAGAAAACATTTTATGAAACCAATTGTAACCCCTACTGCCTTATGCCAATAGCATAAGAAAGCTGAAAAGACAATATACAGTACAGTCAGAACACCCTTTTTATGGTCAGAGATTGTGTGCATTATGCAATGTCAGAGTCTTCTGCTGCTCACCTTTCAGCCCCAAAGTCCTTTCTGAAGAGATAAGTGCAGGGGACAAGTGAAAGGTCTTTCTACTCTGGCTCCCAACAAGAGAAATAAAGATAACATAAAGAATTATTAAGACATTATCACTTCCTGCATTAACCTGTTCACATTCCATGCATGAACCACTTTCACACAGAAACTTGAGACTTGTGACCTTTGGACATGAGACTCTTTATACCTGAATTTTCTGGAGTACAAGTAGTTTGCAGAATGACAGACTTAGGGTGGGAAAAGTTTTCAGCTGCATTACTTCCCACAAATCATAAACTTAAGCATAAGAAAAATATGTACATTTATAGCCCCTCTTTTTCTGCTTGTGACTCCTCATATACATTGAACCTGTGATTTTTAGATTTTTCTCATTGTCCCCAACTGCATTAATATGTACCTGAGCAATAGGTAGATTGTGTGGTAATAGACCTAGCTCTGCTATCCAGCTTGTCCATGCTGGGGACCTGGGCATACTGGTGCCCAGCACTGTTCTCAACCCAAATTTCTAGGGCAGTGAAAAGAAGGCACTGTGTCAAGGAGGCAGTGCATCTGATTTGTAAATGAGGTGGTGCCAAGGCAGCCCTGGAATCTGACCATGTTCCTACTGTCAGACTTCCTTACCCTCCAAAATTGGGTGTATACATTCAGAGTTAAGTGGCTCCTGGCCTGTATGGACTCTGACCATACTGGGAACATGCCCTGGCCCAGGTCCTGAGACCTTGCATTCCAGCTGCTACTTTTGACATACTCACAAGATTATGAGAGTCTCAATGACTTTGTTCATGTTTTGAAAAGCTGTGTCAATCGACAGGGTTTAGTTTGGGGGTTTTTTTGGTTGGTTTTTTTTTTGTTTGTTTGTTTTTTGTTTGTTTTTGGTTTTTTGTTTTGTTTTTTGTTTTTTGTTTTGTTTTTTTTCTCATGCTATGAAGTATAAATACATCTTAATACATAAAGATTTCACACAAAGCCCCAAAATCTCAGGATCCTTTGTGGCAACACAGGGCCTTACTCATGGGTTGTGATCATAAGACTTCATCTAACAAGATGATGCTACAGTAAGAAAGCCTGTAATGGTGTAAGATGATGTAATTGTCTTTATTGGCTAAATCCAGAGGGCAACCTAGAAAGTGAAAAAAAAAAAAAAAACCTAACCAAAAAGAGTAAATTTAGTAGCTACTCTAGTCCAAGTAGCATTGTATGCTTTAAATTCCTGATCATTTTAAGTTGGATTAAACCATGACTATCATTAAATTCCTCGGATCACTCCTCTGACTGGCATCAAGTTACACACTTGTGCAGCTGAAGCAAACTGCTAATCTGATGAGGTTTTCCTTCAGTCACATCAAGACATCAAGTACCTATTCAGGACATCAAGTACCCGATCCTGAGAATTCAGTGAAAATTTAGTAGAGATTAAAGAAACCATGAAGCTATATTCTGAAATAGGAATTTCTTTGCCTTTCAATACATGGTGAATCTGTCTTTTTTCAGTAGTAACTTTGCAAATAAGGACTCAGACAAACTATTCCAGGACCTACTAATTTGGGTTCAGGGGTTACTGGCCACAGTCTGCCTGTTATAATTGCTGTTAGTATGTACCTTTTGTAATCGCTGTTAGTGTGTACCTTACCCTTGCTCTGCCAGTTGAGCTGTTCATCTGATCAAACACTGATTGCTGTTTTTCTGATTTGAAAATGTAATTCTCCCACTGTAATCTTTAAAAAAGTAATTTTCTAGTACTGAATTCTGAACTGACCAGGTTTTGGGATTACCTGCTGTCATGCAGAAACCATTCAACCAGCTCAACTGTCAGAAACAGTGAAGCTGCATTTAACTGCTCCTCACGGAACTAAAGCATGTAGTCAGCATACAATTTGAAAACAAAGAACCTCATTATGAATGATACAACTGTTACAAATAATGTATATGAAACTGTAGAATGCGTGAATTGGAAGGGATCCACAAGAATCATCAAAGTTCAGCTCCTGGCCCTACACAGGACACCCCAAGGATCACACCATGTGCCCTTCTTTGTTGTACCATATGTTGTAGTTTGGGTTTGAAATGCATTTGCAACAGGAAAATCATTTTCTTAACAGGTATTTTACTATTTTTATTTTACTATTGAACTATATAATTCTATCTAGTTTTGCTGAATTGTGCTTTAGTAGTATCTACTTTACTACTATTACTTTCTTATTCCTTCAGATTGCTTCTTTAGGAATCAGAATTTTGACAATATTGATAGTATTTGCATCAGGCTATCTGCACTTTGAAAGACCACTCAAATTAACAGCACGAACTACTAAAAATAATTAAAATGATAGTTTTAATTTTAACATAATTTCAATACAACCACTAGTTGTAACACAGTATGCAAACCATTAGTTAGAACTAATAAAGTGATAAATTAAAGCTATCTTTTTAAGGCATTATACTTCATGAACCATTAGGAATGTAGTAGCAACAGATCATAGTCCATTACCAAATAAATGTACTTGCTGGTTGCTCTAGTGAACAAGTGATATATTAAACAGATCTAATACTTAACAAATGTGAACTATGCCTCTGTTTTTATTCCACACTAAAAGCTTAAGCTAGCACTCTCTGTATTTTAAAAGCATACCATTCCTTTATTTTCTCCAAGGGGAATTCACATCTCCTTCATATTACACGTCACCAAGGCCAAGAGTTAGTGAGAGTTATTTCCCCTTGCTTATTACACGACCCTTTTATACCATCCTGCTTCTCCCCTGCAGTAAATCCACCCCTCTGTGGCCAGTAGCAGATTTCAGCTCCGCCCGTGGGGCAGCAGAGGAGCACACTCCATGGAAAAAGACTAAAAACAAAGAGGGATCAACTGTGCAGCTCCCAGCACAAGTAAAATCTGCCTCTACACCTATTTGACTTTGAAGAAAGAATACATACGCTGGTGAGTGCATGCCTGGTGCCAGTACAAGCCCTCCTTTTCATTCCTAATGGAGCCCAAGTCCTTTCACCATATTATTGGTTGGTTATGGTTTTTGATGTTTCTGGGCTTACAGCACCTTCTGTCCTTTCCATGTGAATTGCAGAAGAGGGAGGAGAATCACTGTCCCTAACTTGTGGTGGCTGCAAGAACTGGGCCTAAAACTCTTCTGCTATTACACAAAAATTAAACTTGTACTTTGTTTTTAAGTCATATTTTCTTCCCTTGACTTACTCTTCTGAGAATTTAATTATCTATATTTTCTTTCTTTCTGGCAAACTTCTCTCTCCTGTTTTGATCTTGTTTGGACTTACCAGTGTGTCTGATCACTGCAGATGCTGGGAAATATGGCTGCGGTCATACCCTAGTTTTGATTAAGTAATGTAGAGCTATGGGCTTTGTAACTAATATATGGATAATAATAATAATAATAATAACAACAACAAGAACAATAATATAGTTCACATTTCATTGCCGAACAATAATATAGTTCACGTTTCATTGCCAT